GATAGCATTTGAATAGTGAATAAAGAAACTAAGAGAGCATACCTAAGGCCCTGGACACAGTCTTCACTATTGAAGGAGGAGAGAGAGAGAGAGAGAGAGAGAGAGAGAGAGGGGGAGGGAGGGAGGGAGGGAGGGAGGGCCGGCCTGTGTGTATGTATCACCCTGGAAGTTTTTGTATAATAGCCACAGGATGATAAATGTGTTTTACTCTCTCACAAAGTCTTATACTTGTTAATTAAAAATTCTTCTAGGACCATTTACCAATAGAACTCTGCTTATTTACCACTTCCTGAGGAAAAAGGAAAAATTGTCCTGTTGTTTCTGAACTTCCAAGACTCCCAGGAAGCACTTAAGCGCTTGCTGTAGCCTCCACTACCCTGTTTTTGTTAAAAATTGTTAAAATTTTATGTTCTAAGTCCACCATCCCCTCTTGACTGAAACTACCATATATAGCAGAACTCTGCCTACATTGTTTACTGCTCTGCCCAGATGGCCTAGCATGGTGCATGATGCACAGTACATGTTCAGAGAGACTGGCAAATTGAGTTGTTAAGAAGTGCTGTGAAGGATATATAAATATACCTGACTAGGCAATCCAGAGCATCTGGAAGTAGGAATCAGCTATTAGGGGTGCTTCCTGGTCAGTCAGACCCCAGGGACCGCTAATAAGAGCCATATCCACCTTTCTGGGATGAAAAATAAGACTTGAACCTATTACTATAAATTGTCTTCTTTTGTTTTTGTAAATGTTTTACTGAATTTTTGTGTATTTCGTACAGACCATCTCAATCAATCTTAATCATCTTTATACCCCTTTCCTCACTGGCACCCTTCCATAGCCCCCACCACTGGAATTCATACCTTCTGTCATTTGTGTTAAGTCTTATTGTATGAAGTTAGTATCCCCAGATGTTCCTCAGTGTAAGTTCACCTACTGAGGTCTAGTCAGCCTATCTAGAGTCCCTCCCTTAAAGAAGATCAGCTCTTCCTCACCCAGTGGTAATCAGCTCCCAATAGTTCTTCAGCTAAGATTGGGGTCAACTGTCCATTTCCCCAGTTCTGTGCTGGTTTTTGTCTGTTTGAGTTTGCATGGGTCTTGTGCATGCTGTCACCGTTGCTGCAGATTCATATGAACAAGAGCTTGTCAGACTTTTATTTCCATATGGTCACACATTGCTCCCTGGCTCTTACAATCTTTCTGCTCCCACTTCCACAGTGGTCCCTGAGCCCTGGGTGGATGAAGTTTAATATAGGAGTCCTGTCCAAGGACCCGCATTCTGTAGACTCCTCCTGTCTATGCTTTGGCCATTTGTGACCTTTTGTGTTTCATGTGCCCTCTGTTGCATGAGGGAGCTTCATTGATGAGAATTGAGAGATGCATTAGTGTTCTCTTAACCCCTGTTCTATGTCCTGTGAGCCTTAGGTATAAAGGTTGCATTGTAGATGGGCCACTTAGGCTTGGGCAATTATAGACAGTGTCCGTGTGTGACCAGTTGTGGTGCTCTGTACTAGTCTCTGTCTGGTGGTAAAAAAGCTTCTTTGATGAGTGGTGACTGGCATACTTGACTGTCGAGATAAGGATCCATATTTTGCACATAGTAAGAAGTTACATTAGTTTAGGGATGTGATAGTCTTGGGGTTTTCTCTAAGGTCTATGATCTCTCCAACCATATGTATTTGACTATGTTTACGGTACCACACGTGTGTTTCCTCCCATTGAGTGGGCTTTAAGTCCAATTAAGTAGCTGTTGATTGCCCCCAAGATAAAAGTGCTACTACTGCACCAATGGCATATGCTGTGTCAGTCATTGATGTGTTTATTTGGCCTTGAAGCTGGGTTTGGACCATTGATTGATGGTTCTCCCTTAGCAGCTTGTGTTGTGTTCTCCAAAGCTATGAGAGCTAGTCTTCAGAGAAAGTGGCTTCCAGGTCATTTCCAGCTCCATTGCTCCAAATCCTGTGTCCGAAGTATGTCCTGTCTTCAGCAGTAGGGTCTTACCTTTAAGTTCTGAGAGGCAATCAAGAGCTGTGGCAATAGCCTGTGCAATTTTGAGAGTCTCTTGGACTACCCTGGCCAACAACTCTCAAAGGAAGGTTTTTCCTTTCAGGCACTGTTTCTTGTTATATAGGCTTCAACTATACACACAGACTCATGTAGAGATACTATATGTGCAATCCATCATTGGGTTGTTGGATAGTATGATTCCCTCTAGTGCTTTACACTAGTTAGGCATTATTTATCTATCCTCTCTCCCTGTCTGACCCTCCCTCCGTGCCTTCCCCATTTAAAGTGTTCTCATTTTCCCCATTTTTCCCTTGGTAATACCAGTCTCCTATGGTCCCACCTCTCTTGAGCTCCTTCTTTCCCTTTATCCCCAAAGTTCCTTGTATAACCCTCCCTCCCACGTCTCATTTAAACACCCCCATTTTATCCATTTCTCCCTTAGACTAGAAACTGTTATACTAAGTGAAGTAACATAGACTCAGAAAAACAAACTACGTATGTTCTCCCTCCTATGTGGCTCCTAGCACCAAATCCTTGTATGTGAGTATGTATCCTTAGCAACAACAGGAACCAGGAGTATTTTTGAATACTGGGTGAGCACACCTGAAATTCCTGCCCTTGGGAGGCCAAAGCAGGAGGATCACTGTGAGTTCAATGCCAATGTAGGCTAACTAGCAAAATCCTGTCTCAAAAGAAAATGCTGGTTAAAGTGGACGTATCTGTTTTTCAGTCTGAAGTGGTTACCTGTCTCCCGTCTTAGCGTCTCCTAGTCCATCTTCCATAGTTACACAATAGCCACAATGATGCTAATCTGACGTAAAGAATATATTAGATCATTTTATGGCTTCAAATCTTTCAGTGGTTTCTGTTACAACAGAATAAAAACCCAAACTGTTGTGTCCTAGAAGGTCCAACCATGTCTCACTGCTGCCTCTGTGCTCTGGGAGAATTCCCAGCTTCATCCTGCCTTCTCGTTTTTTATTATTCTTCCCCCAGATCTTCACAGCCCCCCCCCGTTGGAATCTACATTGAAAACCATTGCCTTAGAAGGTTTTCCCACCCAGTGGAGTCAGCCCCTCTTCATTGTCTACAGCATTCCCACTCCCTCCTGCTCACTGCTCCTAAGTTGTGTCTCCTTTTGGAGTAGGGAACCAGAAATTAAACGCAGGGCCTTAAACACGCTAAGCATATTCATTGCCACTGTGCTATACATCCAGCTCTTGTTCATTTTTTTATGTATTTTTTTTTCTATCCGCGCTTACATAACAAAGACAATTTATTTTTACTGCAATATTCTTAGTGTTTAAAATAGGACCTGGAATATATTGGATGTTCTGACTATCAAATGTGTCCTTTGACAGCTTCATGCGTGTGTGCAATGCATTGTGGTTACTCTCACCTCTCTACTCTTTCCTATCTTCCTCCCATTCCTGCCAACCCCTACTCTTCCCTACAAGTCCTTTTCTCACATTCATGTGTTTTTGTTTTGTGACCCACTGAGGTTAACCAGGGCCATCTTTGTGACCATGGGTTTGGAATTGTCCACTGGAACCTGTTGGACTCACCCATGGGTACTCAGCTGAAGACAACGACTGCCTCTCCTCCAGAATCTACTCATAGCCAGGAGTTCAGCAGAGCAGAGTAGGGCCCCTTCTTGACCCATGACTGACTGTTGCCAGGCCCAGTGAAGGCAACCTCAGCTACTAAGAGATCATGACTGCCGTAGCTGGGTATGCCTAGAAGGCAGCATTTCACAGCCCTGCTCCCTATATCCTGGCTCTTAAGATTCCTTTTGTCCCCTTTCCCCTGATGCTCCCTGAGTCTCAGAAGGAGTGGTATAAATGTTCTTTGTAAAGGTGAGCACTCAACCCTTACTTATTATCAACACCTAGAGCAGCCATGAGTCTGCATTCACTGCTGTTGACCACAGAGACGCCTCTCTGATTAAGACTGGGCGTCATATTTCTCTGTCTGGGCCAGATGCTGATAGGGTCAGAGTTTTTAAATTAATGTTTTTTTTTTTTAATGTGTATGAGTGCATTGCCTGCATGTGAGTGCACCCGTGTTGTGCAGTGCCGCGGAGGTCAGAAGAGGGTTCCAGAGTCCCCTGGAACTAGAGTTAAGGACGGTTCGTAGCTGCCATGTGGGTGCTGGGAATTGAACCCGTGTCCTCTGCAAGAGCAGTCAGTGCTCTTAACCACTAAGCCATCTCTCCAGCCCCTAAATTAATGTTTTTTATGAAGTACAGAAGAAAACAGTTTGGGATAATTTGAACTTTAAATCTGAAAGTTGTCATGGTCAGACCAGAGTGATGGCACATTGGAATCAAACAGACCCTGGGGTTTTAATCCTGACTCTGCTAAAACTCTAGCCTCACATTTCCGAGGGATAAGATGGAAACTGTACCACTTCACATGAATGTTCATTGTAAAAGGGCTTGCACTTAAGTACTTTGATGCTATGGGAAATAATCCCCTTTCTCATAATTTTCTGTCATGGCTAGAAAATGTGAACCAGGGAAAGTTCGCAGAGCTAGGACATGTTACCTTTGTTTAAAAATTAAGTAGTAATTCCCAGCACTCTGGAGGCAGAGGCAGGCAGATCTCTGTGAGTTCAAGGCCAGCCTGGTCTATATAGTGAGTTCTAAGCCAGCTGGGGCTACAGGGAGATCCTGTCTCGAATGAATGAATGAATGAATGATGACTGAATGAATGGCCAAAAAAAAAAATTTAAGTAGCATTGTTGGTTTTCAGATGGCCCTACATTATAATGGCCAAATTTTTCCATTGTAGAAAAAGGAAATCATCCTTTTGAAAGTATTATTGACACACATTTTATCATATTTTGGGGGCAGAAACACCTGGTAAAATTAGGTTTCTGATATCTAACAGAAGTGCTTATAAATTATTTGATTGCACCCCCCCCTTGACATTCTCATCACACACTTCTCCAGAAAATTAAGCTAAAATGTACGTTTCAGCCTATAGGAAAACCTAAATGCAAGCGCTAACATTCTTTAGGGAGCTGTGAGATTGCTTAGCTCATTCCTTGTTATCCCATTCCAGCCAGACCTTGGCTTGTAGCATTAAAAGCCCAGTCGTGTTTGCCTTCCTGCCTTTCTCGCTGTTCTAAAGCTCCAGGAGAGCCTCAAACACTGGCAAGAGCACGTCTGTTGAGTGAATCTCCTTGGCCACTAGTTAAAGTTTTAATATTTAAAGTCACAAACTCGAATTTGAAGTTAAGGAACAGCTATAACATTCACTCTTCAGAAAGCTGATTTTCATCTCTCATGGAACTGTGTATTTTTAGCTATTTGTACATTAAGTAGAAAAAATAAGGAGATATGCTTACCTGTCAAACTGCTACCACCAATTAGGCATTCACTGAACACTTATTAAATGACAGGCAAGAAGTTGAGAGAAATGAGAAACTCCTCAGTAATGATAGAAATACATGGCTTTTAAAAAGCTTGTTGTGAACTTGTGTAAGAGTTGGGGTCCCGTGAGATGGCTTATCTGGTAAAGGAGCTTGCTGCCAAGCCTGAGAACCTGAGTTTAATTCCTGGGACCCACATGGTGGGAGGAAAGAATTGACTTCCACAAGTTGTCCTCTGACTTCCACATGCATACCATGGCACTGCTTGCGCGTGCGCACACACACACAAAATAAATAAATGTAAGAATTCTGTGGGAATGCGCACCTATTTTAGGACATTGACGTAAGGAAGCAAGCAAAGTGGCCATCCATTGTGAACTCCTCCTGGGAAGTCTCCTGTTTCAGCAGCCTGGTCTGACTGAGTCTAAGCAAAGGCTGGGAGCACAGGCATGTCTCCTTGGGGTTAGCCTGGTCTATTCCTTGTCAAGAACTTCAGCTGTTGAAGAAAGAGCAGTGTTGTTATCTTATCACTAAAATATTGTCTAAAGATCTGTATAGGGGAATAACTGGCTAGATTATGATATATGTCTTTGGGACAGAATTTTATGAAGCTATTGAAAGCTATGTTAAGGAAACATTTTAAGAGTTTAGAGGAAGCACTCTAGAGAACTAAATGAAGAAAAGTTTATAATGTACATACTGGGTGTTCTTTTTTTAAATTCATCTAAAAAATTTATTGGTGGCAAGGTTGTATTTGTGTGTGTGTGTGTGTGTGTGTTGGCAAGAAGAGGGTATCTGATCCCTTGGAACTGGAATTACAGCATTGTGGGATGCCTGCCTTGCTGTGTGAATGGTGCACTTTATATTCTGATCCTCAACATTGTACAGCAAGTACCTTAACCACTGAGTCATCTCTCCAGCCCCGTTATTTATTGTGTGAGTACAATGCCCATGTGTTGAACAGGCGAAATAATGCTAAAAGTTTAACAATGGGATTAAGGGTGAGATTTGTTCTGGGTTTTCAGTGCATTTTCTAAGAGTTCTATAGCAAACATCTGTCTTTTAATACTTAGTCCATTTCATTCCTGTAGCCTAGCCAGCCAAGTGAAGCATGTTGTTCACCAGGCCTTCTGGGATGTCTTGGAAGCAGATCTCAGTGCTGAGCCTCCCCAGTATGAACATGCCATCAGACTGTTTGAAGAAATCAGAGAGGCAAGTTGATGTTTGTGTATTTAATGTCTTAATCCATTGGGGTTGGTATGGTGGATACCATAGACTGAATAGCTTATAAACAATAGAAATTTCTCATAGTTTTGGAGACTGAGAAGTCTTGAAGACCAAGGTGCCAACAGGTTTGCTGCCTGACAAAGGCCTGTGTCACAGAAGATTTCTTCTTGGTGCAGCTTCATATGACAGAAGGTGGCAAAGGAACCCTCTAGGGTCTCTTGTAAAGGCATTAATCCCATTCATGATGACTCTGCCCTCATGATCTAATCACGTTGCAAAGGCTCCATCGCTAGTACAGTCCCTTGGGAATTGGGTTTTGACATGTGAATTTGGGGGTGGGTTGCAAACAAACTATAACAGTTCATTTCCCCTCCCAAAGACAGTCTCATATCTCATAACATTGGTCACTCATTTTGAAAAACTGAGGCAGTCAGTCACTAGTAGTGCTCTTCTTTGCTCTTGGTGGAGTGGAGGCTAGGAAAATAGAGCAGCAGACAGAGCTCAGGGAAATGCTTGAGGTACAAATAACACCTTGGATTTAGACCTGGGTTAGAAGTGGGCTCACCCTGTAAAAGCTTGAATTTCTTGAAGGTTTATGGATAGTTACAAGAATTATATGAGATGATAGTTCTTTTATTTATTTTTTTATATTTTATTTATTATTTTTATTTTATTTGTATGAGTGTATTGCCTGCATGAATGTAAGTAGACCCGTGTGGTGCAATGCCGGGGAGGTCAGAAGAGGGCTTTGGATTCCCCTGGAACTGGAGTTAAGGATGGTTCATAGCTGCCGTGTGACTGCTGGGAATTGAACCTGGGTCCTGTGCAAGAGCAGTCAGTGTTCTTAACCACTGAGCCATCTCTCTAGCCCTGATAGTTGTTCTTTTAGGCATTTACAAGACACTCGCTCTGTGCCATGCACTGTATTCATTTTTATGTAGATAGTTCCTTCTCAGAATCATAAAACTTGGAGGGGTCAGAGGAATTTGAATTGTGAGTCTCTGGCTCAGAGCTCATACTCCCCAGCCATTGCTCTGTGTACAAGCACAGAGTCGTCCACCGTGTTGTGAGTACTCAGTGGACAGCTGACTACTAATGCTCCATATGTAAAACACACTTCAAGGACTTCATAGGGCTTTTTCACTTACTCCTCTCAAGAGTTCTTTTGGAACCGTGATCTACAGCTTGCTCCTCTTCCTCCTCACTACCCGGAGACTTTTGGAAGTGCTCTCAGAGATTCTGCATCCTTGCCAGTTGTTTCCATTCTGAAATCATCAGTCATTCACCATAGTGGTGGTCTTTGATTCAGAAGACAGAGCTTCCTTCTCAGAGTAGAGACATTGGAGCGTCTCTGATTTACTTCCCAGGCAAAGGTGTCTCCTGTGGTACAAAATAACACAGAGATGGGGAACTTGGGCATCTAGACACAGGCATGAGAAGTGACACATTTGTTCATGTGATGATGCTGCTGACTTTTCTTTTCCTGTGTAGATTCTTCTCTCTTTTTTGACACCTGGTGGGAACCGGCTTCACAACCAGATCTGTGAAGTTTTGGACATAGATCTCATCAGACAGCAGGCTGAACACAGTGCTGTTGACATCCAAGGTCTGGCTAACTATGTCATCAATACGATGGGGAAGATCTGTGCTCCTGTCCGCGATGGCGATATCAGAGAGTTGAAGGCTACTAGCAACATTGTGGCGTTGCTGAGGTTAGCACTTATGTATTTTCTAGAAGATTGCAGAAGCCTTTTTCCTAGTTACCTATGTAATTGGCATATGATGTCCAATCTCTAGTGCTTAGCTGGGTGATTGGTACCCACTTGATGCCACCCACCCCCTTTGGTTTTTTCTGTTTTTTTGATTCACTGAATTTAGTTAGGGTTGCTTGCATAAGAATGGGGAGGGGGTTATTTGCTAGAGCATGAGTAACTCACCAGTGGCTACATTGTTGAAGAAAATGTCACTCCCTCTCCCAGCCGCCATTAACTTCCAGGAGTTCCTCACAAAGGGGTAGGGCTTCATGGGTGCCTCCCTATCCTTGATGGAATATTGGAGGACCCAATCTCGTGCAGGCCTTGCACAGATACGCGTAGCTGCTGTGTGTGTTAAGAATTCTCAACAGCCATGTATCTGAATGGCAGTGTTTCACAGCACTTCTCCCCGTTCCCTGGCTCATGCAGTCTTTCCACCCCCTTAGTGATGTTCCCTGGGCCTTAGAGGGGGTATATAAATGTCCTGCTTACAATCGGGCACTTAGCACATAGACCAGATACATGTCTCTGCATTAACCTTCACCCACTATAAAAGGAGCATCTCTGCCCAAGGTCAAGAGCAGCACTAATCTACAGGCATAAGCATAAATATTTAGAAGGCAATCTGACCTGTATGATTAGTAAAACAATAGTTGGTGTCTCCTAGGGCCTATGACCTTCCCAGCCATAGAGTTTGACTTGGCTTACAGTATCTGGTGTGTATTCCCTCCTGTGAAGTAAGTCTCCAATCCAATCAAAAAGTGGTTGGTTACCCCCAAACAGTTATGCACTATTGTACCAGTGGGCATATCCTTGCCTTGCAGGTAGGTATTATGGCATACAGGATTCACAGCTGAGTAAGATTATTGATGAATTTTCCCTTACCGCAGCCTGATTAGTTCCTTCTGGCACTCTGTGCGAGCCAACACTGGGGTAGCTTCCAGCCTAGTTCCAGCTTGATTTCTCTGTGTCCTAAGACCAAAGTGTGCAGTGTCTTTAGCAATAGTGTCTTGTTGTCTAGTTCTGCTGGGCAACTAAGAGCAGTTACAATAGACTGTATTGTTTTGGGAACTCTTGGGAGCTCTCTGGCCAACAATTCATAGATGTGCTATACCGGGCCCTCAAGATTTTCATTTAAGACCCAGCCAGGCATGGTGGTGCACACTTTTAACCCTAGCACTCAGGAGACCTTGTTACAGAAACAACAACAAAACCACTACAACAACAACAATTAAACAGCCATGGCTTCTGGTGCCAGCTTCCTCTGCCATGCAGGTACCTTCGTTCTAAACTTTTTTTAAAAAGCCTGTTTTTTTAGTTAGCTTATAAAATAGTGGGTTTCTATAGCTTTATCATTCATACATCCTTTGATTTCGTTACCCCCCCCACATAACTTTCCCTCATCCTCCTGCCCCATCCCTGTTTAAACGTTTTCACGCATAGTATCCACCCCTCCTCTACACTTCATTCCATGTGTTTTTCTGTTTCCCCCTAATGCCTCCTCCAACCCCCAGCTCCTTTCCTCCTAGCCTCTACAGCTACACACTCCAGCTTAAGCACAGAATTCTCAGAATTTTAAGCTATGATCTGCATATGAGGGAACATACAGCATTGTTTCACTGAATGAAATACCTCATTCAGGGTTTTTTTCAGTTCCGTTTTCCTGCAGGTTTCATATTTTTACACCTCAGTAAAATTCAGTATCATATGCGTGCCCTGTTTTCATTGTCCTCGCCTCAGATGACACTCATCCAGGCTGGTTCCATTTCTTGGCTCTTGTGACTTGAGCAGCAGTGAACATGGGTGCTTTCCTTGACTCATTGGCTATTCATAGCACGCTTCCAAGATGATCCCTCTTCGTTCAGTCATGAGAAACTGAAGCTCAAAGACATTGAATAATTTGTGCATGGACACAAATTTGGTCATTTGCAAAGCTGGATAGGAGTACAGGGCTGCCCAGCCTAAAAGGAAGTGTTTCCCCTCAGTGCCTCACGACCCTATTTCATCTTTCATTTACTTAAGTGTGTATTCGTGTTTCCTTAGCAGAAGAAATCTTATACACTGTGTTCAGGCTTCTAAGAAAATTCAGCAGGTTTTCACATAAAAATTCCTTCTTGAACTTTCTCTTTGTGTACTTCTGTCCGAATATGACTGGCTACAGTGGATGGGCTGGATGTCATAAATATCTGCTATAGCAAATACTGTTGAGACGTGTGTAGGGAACATTTGGATACATATGCTATAACCTTAGGACAAGTGACCTTGACAAATGACTGCTAAAACTTCAAAACCATTTTCAAGATGCTTATCTTATCTACCCTGTAACATACAGATATAGTTCATCAATTTCAGCTCCTTAATCACCTCTCTGTTTTGATTCTAAATTTTTTAGGCAAATATTCCATGTCTTGGATCTCATGAAAATGGATATGGCAAATTTTGCCATTATGAGTATTAGACCACACATTCAGCGTCAGTTGGTAGAATATGAGAGAACCAAGTTCCAGGAAATTATGGGAGAAATTCCAAGTAAGTATAATATAATGTGTACTTACTTTGAAATTGGGTGAAAATATGATACTATGACTTTTGCCTGTTTATGTAGTATGACTTTTAAACTTGTTAAAGTTGACATTGACATCACAAACTTACAGTTTACACTGTCCCAGGAAATGTGCTAAGCACTAATTTTTTCTCATTCATTTATTCCTGCTGTATCCCAGACATTGCTAAGGTGCTATGGCTCTAGAGTGGACAAAGAAAAATACAATTGGAGTCTCCAAAGAACTGACATTCTAGTAAGCATGCTGTACAAACCCTTGACAACAGCCTCTGAGATTTAATTAATCACAATCTAAGTCTGAGTTAGGTAATTTTCTTCCCCCTGACCCACTTTCAGTGGATTGAGCTTTTCAGTCACAAGATAACACAGGAGCTTTATGTACACAGGGCAAAATCCACTTTAAATGGACTCCTGCAAGTGGAGCATACCCACGGAGCGCACATAGATTGTGGAGGGCCACATGAGCATGTTCTGTCATAACATGGGCAGGTTCTGCTTGCTAACAAGGAGTGTCATGTGGGTCGTGACACCACCTGCCCCTTGGATAGCAGTTTAGAGACCTTGATTACATTCTCTGTAGGGCAGACTAAAATCCTCATGAGGAAGTAGCAGGCAGGTAGTTTGGGCCTTAACAATAACTGCAGCTGCTTAAACTTTGGAATAGGCCCCATTATTGCTAGTGGTAATGCTGTGACCTTATATGGTAAGCACTGCATTGGTTAGTTCATTCAAGCTTCACTGCAGTCCTAGGAGGTTGGTGCTGTCATTGCCTCCTATTTACAAATGAGGAAATAGAAGTTAAGGTACTGGCTCTAGGTGGTGCTAGTAGGTGTCTCTGCCTCAAACCATATGCATTTTAACACATGCAATCCTGCCTATCCTGGAACAAAATACTATCAGAAGGGTATATTGTAGAGGATCCCAGGCATGAACTGGCAAGTGGGACTGGATGACTGCTAAGGTTCTGTTGGTAACAAAAATTCTGTGACTTCAAGGGCTGTATTAGCTCTCATAGGAAAGGGATTAGGATAAACAGAGCCTGAATAGAACCCCAGCCTGAAGGCTGAACTCAACTTTATTCTTAGCATCAGCTTCCTGAGACTCAGTGATGGGACTCAAGTCTAGGTGCCTCTGTGTGTGCGTATTCGTGTGTAAATCTAGCCACATCTTGAATCAAGCTAGCTTCAAATCTTGGGCAAATTCCTTTATATTGGGTTGAGTTATAACTGTTTATCTCAAATTATTTGCATCTTTCCTTAAAACTCAGATAACCTGTGTGTTTTCACCGCTCATGCTTGGCTCTTTCCAGAGATTTAAGAATACTGCAGGGCCAGCTGTGCATTTGAGTCATTTTTGCTCAGCCAGAGAAATCAAGCATGCAGGAAGCAGAGTACATGTCAGCTGTTAATTACATCCTGAGTCACTCTGGAGGTTGGTCTCTGTGCCCTAATGTCAAGATAAAAGTCTCACACATCATCTTACACGGGATACAAGTATTGTTAGATTTTTGGTGTCTGTTTCTTTTGTATTTATTTACTTTGTGTATGTGTGTGTGTATATATAATATACATATTCGCATGCCTCAGCACACACGTGGAGGTCAGGATAGCTTGCAGGGTTCAGTTCTCTCCTTCCATCATGTGCGTCCAACAGATTGAACTTGGATCATCAGCTTTGGCAACAAGTACCTTTACCTATTCAATCGTCTCCCTGGCCCAAGGTATATATACTTTTGTATATATTTATAACTTTTTTCAGAAATTAATACAAAGTACTGTCAATTTCTAAATTGACTTCTGATAAAATTTTATTTTACCTAAGGAAAGATTTTCATATTGGAATATACTCAGAAACTTGGGCAATGACTAGGTGTATACGGTAGGCATTAACAAGGTAATATTGGTACCACAGCTAAGTTACCCTTAGAGAGAGTAATGGGGGTGGGGCTGGAGAGATGCTCAGCAGTCAAGAACACTGGCTACTCTTGTAGAGGACCTGGGCTTAGTTCCAAGCACCCAGATGGTGGCTCACAACCATCAGTAACTCTAGTTCTAGGGGATCAGCACACATAGATATACTTAAATGCAGGCAAAACACTCATAAAATAAAAATAAATTTAAATAAAGAATAATGAACTATCTTCAGAAAGAAAAGGTTATATTTTTTTAGATAACTGATGTTTTATGAACTTTATTTCATATTATTCTTTCTAAATTCCTATGAAATAGATCTCATTATGATTATCTTTGCCTGGTATATAAGGCAGTTAGGAGCATTTCAAAGAGCACACTGTGCCAGACATCATGGGGCATGTCTGTAATCCCAGTACTCAGGAGACTCGAGGCAGGAGAATTGCTGAGTTTGAAGCCAGCCTGGGTTACATAGTGTCAGGCAAGCTAGGGCTATAATACAAGACCCTGTCTCAAAAAGGAAGAGGAGGAGGAGGAGGCTCAGCAGTGACCTCAGAGTCACATCTCATCAGTAGTATGACTTTTGTTTCTTTCTTTGGATATTTCATTTTAGTGCTATGTGTACCAGCTTGTGGGAGTGAAATCTCAGCAGATAGCAGAGAGAAGCAGGCATTTTACTGTAAACACGTGCCCTCTGCTTTACCAGTCCTGTGCAGGTTCACCTGGGGCATTTACTCACAGATGCTCAAGCACCACATTAACCTGATTAAGTCACAATCTCCAGAAGCTGTGCCTAGCATCATTATTTTTCTTTTTAAAGCTCCCTTGGTATTTCTCAAGGCAGCCAGAATTGAGAGCAGCTAAACCACACTGTTGCTTTTGTTGGAAATAACTAAATGGGCTTTTAAATGTGTCAGCTGTAAATGGTTGAACTTGCAGTCCACATGCATATTAGCTGCCACATTGTGATTACACCCTCTTGGTTTTCACTCCACTTTCTCTGTTGGGTATCTTTTAAAGTCTTTTACATCTTTATAAACAGAGCTAGCAAAGCAAGAAAGCATTTACCAACTGAGAAGAAACAGCTGTGAGGTTCTGGGGGTGTCATGGCTTCAGGGCAGCAAACAGCCACTCATAAATTATCCCTGTTCAAGTGCCAGTCTGAGGAAGAGTGTCTACCTAGTCTTCATTGCTTTCTCCTGTTCCTTTTTCATTTTTTAATCTGCACCTGTGTTCAGTCTTCCCTTAGCAGTACCACCTAATGTCTTCCAAATACATGCTTTTAGGAGACCTGTGATATAAAAATCAATTGATTCTAGTGGGAAATCTTAGAACTAGGTCTAAGGTAAAATTAAGTGAGTTTTTCCCTAAGGCAGAAAGCCCAGTAGAAAAATTACCTCTAAAGCCTCTGAAATAGTCGTCAGTATGATTTCATTTGATTCACGATGTAAGAGATAATGCAATTCAAAGTTAGTGGAAAGTCTTGTGATCAAAAGTAAATGAATACTAATTATCATCTAAGTTGGTGGTTCCCCATCAGGGGTGTTTTTTTCCTGCCCCCCGCCTCGCAATGAACTGTGTGTAGAGACACTTTTGATTGTCCAATCTGTTGGGAGAGGGCATTGAATATTACTGGCATCTAGAAGGCAGAGGCCAAGAATGCTGTTAAACATCCTAGTGATCCAAACAGCGCTCCATAGCAAAGCATTAACCAGCCCCCAAATGCCAGTAGTGCCAAGGTTAAGATACCCTGCTGAAGGTCAAGAGTTGAAATCAATCCATTTCATGATGGCCCAAAGAAATTTCTTTGTGCTCTAGGATAATCTGGGCTTCAGTAAAGAAGAAAATCTAGTGGCAGTTCAGCCTCTTGGGATTGTCTTGTGTCTGAAACCCTCTTGTTTCATTTAGCCATGGTGGATGGCAAATACCTCCCTCTCCCTGCTTGCTGTCTTTCCATTGTCAGAGGAGTCAGTTGTCAGAGGAGTATACTAATATTAAGGAAGTTCTGCTCTAGTTCAACCATTAGGCATTAATAATCGTAATCTGTATTATAGTAATATTTAAGTACCATGTGCTTAAAATGAAATGGATTCAAGACCTCACATTTCTAGTGACACATTTTTAATGCAGAAGTACAGATCTTGATAATTAGACTTGCTTAAAGTGAAAGATCAACTTTTCTGGACAGTTGCCACTGTCTTCAAAGTCATCCCAAGTATGCGGCACAGGTTCAGTGTCACCCTTCCAGCCTCACCACTTCCTTCTCGTCTTTCCTTCTGGACTGGGCCTTGCCAGATACTGACTGTGCTGCGTAAACTAGCTTTCAGTTTGGGTTTATTTTCTGGATGGCATCTCCTTTGGAGCATTGATTTTTTTTTTTTTTTTTTTAAGGGGATCTGCTGAGATTCCACTTCTTCAAACTAAAGCACTAACTGGTCTTTTTTAAAAAAATCCACATTCTGCCCAGTGTGGTGGCACATGCCTTTAATCCCAGCACTTGGGAGGCAGAGGCAGGCAGATCTCTGTGAGTTCAAAGCCAACCTGGTCTACTTAGTGAATTCTGGCCAGGTGGAGCTACAGAGACACCCTGTCTCAAAAAGACTCCCCTCCCCCGCAAAAAAATCCACATTATGGGGCTGGAGAGATGGCTCCGTGGTTAACAATACTTGTTGTTATTTCAGAGGACCCAGGTTCAATTCCCAGCACCCACATGATTGCTAACACCCATCTGGAACTCCAGTTCCAGGGGATCCAACACCCTCTTAATGGCCTCTGTGGGCTTTGCATGACAAGAACGCACTTACAAACATATAGGCAAAACACTCATACACCTACAATTTTTTTTTAATTAAAAATCCACATTCTTTTAAAAAAATATTGTATTTATTATTTTTATTTTATGTGTATGCATGTATTACCTGTGTGTAGGTAAGTGTACCTGTGTCATGCAATGCCCTCGGAGAACAGAAGAGGCTGTTGGATTCCCCGGAACTGGAGTTTTGGACAGTTGTTAGCTGCCATGTGGCTGCTGGAGTTCAAACCTGGGTCTTCTGCAAGAACAACCAGAGTTCTTAACCACTGAGCCATCTCTCCAGCGCCACCCCCCAATCTACATTCTTAAAGCCAGTCTTAACCAACCCCTATTTATAGTCTACCTGTTTTATGCCATAGAGATCATTCTGCCTGAGATAACACAGCAACAAGTCACACAGCTGTTCTGTGATGGGCAGAAAACCTGGCTCAGACTTCCTGTGCGTCACATACCGAAACCAGTTCAAGTGGAGACAGTCTTACCCCCTCCTTTGAGGTGTTGGGGAGTGAATATAATTGCTGACCCTTATTAGACACTTGTTGTGTGCCAAAATGACTCTTAAGTGTTGCATGTATTCCTTTCTTGAATCCTTACCACAGCTGCAGGAAGGGACTGTCATTATAAAAGCCCAGTTTACAGACGTGGAAATGGAACAGCAAATGTGGAATTGCAATAAGTTTCCCAAGGCATGCTGCTATGTGTGAGAACAGACTGTAGCTCTGTCTTGTTCAGAGGACATGCTTCCAACCAATTCACCAGCCACTTAGCTTCCAGGGGGAGAAGGTATCACACAAATTGTGCATCACACCTTGATTGCTTTGATACTAGGTTGCCCTTAATTGAGATTTTTTTTCACCTGCAATACAAACCTGACTCCACAGAAGTGCTTCTCTACTCCCATACTACTCTGAAGCTGTTGCAGAGGAGGCTGGTGCTGATTGGCCTCTTTCCTGAAATGGTTTGTTCTCATTAAATCCATCACAAGTAATAAAGTGTCTCTACTGGCTTGGGTTCTGTTTAGAGAAGGCTGTGATGGCTGTGATTGGCAGTGAATTGGGAGCCATTTGCTGCATTTGCTGGGATTGTAGGTATGCACCACCATGCCCTGCCTAGTGAGCACCGTGGCCTTCGCTTTCAGAGACCTTCTTGGTGCTGCTTTTATCTGTGTTTCGGTATGTAGATGTGGAAAGAGAAAGTAAGCTGTCGTAGGTCTCCTCTTAGAAAGGCACAATGCTGCCTGAGGAACCCCCTTGTGACCTCATCTAATTCTAGTTAACTTCTGAGAGGCTTCATTTCTAGATGCCATCATGCTGGGAATTACCACTTCAAAGTAAAAAAATGGGGGAGGGGGAAAGGGTACACATTCGGCATTCATCCCATAACAGTTATTTGTTGCTTGATTTTAACTTTCTTGAATAGACAGTTAAATTGATCAGTCGTTGCCAGAGATTAGGATTAGAGTAACTATTAAGAGGTAGCAGGAAGAAGGCGTGTGTGTGTGTGTGTGTGTGTGCGCGCGCGCGCATGTGAATGTATAGTTCAGTATCCTAATGCCTACATTAAACCATATATATAATGAGTTCCATACGTAAAGAATGTATGTAAAAACTGTAAAGTCTATCTAAGTTAATGATATTGTACTTGTCAGGTTCCTGGTTTTGAAAGTACACTGGTCATGTATGATGTTTATCATGGTGGCAGCTATGTGAAGGGCATGCAGAAACCCTGTGCTGTTTTGTTTTTTTTAAACAACTTCTTGAGTCTTGAACTATTTCAAAATGAAGACATTTTTAAAGCCATGAAAAGAACTATGATATATAAGAGAACATGGAGGATTGAAAAGTGTGTTGGGCACTATCTAATTCTATTTACATTTAACTGTAAGAGGTCAACTAATTCCTGAAGTTAGCAGTTGAGTTCAAATTAGTTGAGTACAAATTGACTAGAAAGGGAGAAGAGAGAACTTCTGGAGTGTTGGAAATGGTTTATATCTTGTTCGGAGTAATTGTAACCCAGATACACAAAATGGTCAAAACCGCCCAAAGTAGACACAGGAATGGAACACCTTTTTGTATGTCTGTAAGTATGTATGTGCATTTATATGTGTGGAAAACAAAATTTAAAAATGGGGTTATCTGTAGCCCCAGCTGGCCTGGAACTCGCTATGTAGACCAGGCTGGCTTCAATCTCACAGAGATCCCCCTGCCTCTCCCAAGTGCTGGGATTAAAGGTGTGCACCACCACATTTGGCTTTAAAATGAAAAAAAAAAAGAGCAAAGGTAAAAAGATACTAAAAACCCACTCCTTTCTGATAATCTCACTGTTGTCTGTAGTCTGTAATCTTGAGGGTCTTTATACCTTTATCTGATGATGGAAACATGGTGTAGCAGTATGCTACTGGACACCTCTTCCCAACTTCGTATTCAGTGACTCTCTTCCCACTTGCTCATTCACATGAGGAAATCCAAAGCTTAGGGGAGAAATGAGCACTAGAGATAGGGGTCTGGAACCCTGAAAATGAGTCAGATGTCGACTAGACTTGAGAGTGAAGAGCAACAAATGGAGGTGGGCTGGTTGTCCTTGGAAGCATCAGTGTGTGGGGGACAGCAGAGGGAGAGGAAGGCGGCTGTGAATCAGGACTGCTAGAGGAAACCAGGGGTAGAGGAGCCACAGAAACCAAGAGGAGTTCCCAGAGGGTTATTCTCAGAGACGCTGTTACAGAGAGGCTAAAAAGAGGATGAACTTAGATGCGATTGTGGATTTGACAACCAGAAGACAGCCATGGCTTCCAAAAAATCTTGGGAGGGCTGTATGTCAGTAGCACTCTAGCCTTTACTTTATCTTGGGCACAAAGATAATGACACAACCATTTATTCAGCTATCCAAGGCAGAGATACCAGAGTAATCCTACCAGCCTTTCTTTTCTGTTGTATTTAATGGCCCTTAGGACCTGTGGTTGACCCACTAAATAATATTTCTCTTTGTGTACCATTGCTCCCTGTTTCCATTGCCCCTGTCCATTCACTCTCTTCTGAGCTGCAGCAGCCTACAGCCCTCCCACTCATCCTGTCCACTTCTCAAGTGATTTTCCTAACAGATACATCTGATCAGATCAGTTCCGTGTTGAAAAATACTAATGCAAAGAATCCTCATTTCCCATAGCTAGTGCTTGAAACCTAGAGTCTGCAAATCTGATAAGAGGCTGAAAATTGTTCATGGATATGGAAACATAGGCATGCACATGGATCCTGGGAAAAGCATAGCTCCAGTCAGACACTCAGATAGGTTCAGGACCCTAAAATGTTTAATAATCGATGCCTTGAGTCTGGCATTTGTGAGCTGGGTTTGATGTTTGTTCTGTAAGCTGGTTTCTGAATAACCAGCGTTCAGAATTTCTCCGTTTCCCTGGTCCTTTATGTACCATCAATACAGATTTGCTGCACATCTTCCAGAATGGACCATCTGCTGTCATTTCAGTTCTTTATGTGGGTGTCCTTGCTAGAATGCCGGCCTTTCCTTCTGTCTGCCTTATGCCTTGGGTGTCACTTAGGGAGTGCTTCCTCTTTACTCTCCTGAGCAAGCCCTGTTCCCTCTTCCCCTCTTACAGCAGTCATCACCTGCTCTTCTAAGCAGTGGTGAGTTATGGGCCTCCCTGTCCATCGGTACTAGGGGCATAGCAGTGTCTTTTCATTCATGCCAAGGACCTAACAGTCTGTTGCGTGAAATATATAAACAAAAGGACCAAATATGTGCCTTTTTTTCCACTCTTAGATGCTCTCAATCAAACTACAGAATGGATAAAAGAATCTGTAAATGAATTACTTTCTGAGACTGCTGTAACTCCTGGAGCTGAAAATAGTTCCATGCCAAGCCTGAGTCCTATATTGGTGCTAGATAATAGTTACTTGAAGCTACTACAGTGGGATTACCAGAAAAAAGTCTTACCAGAGGTGAGTGGCTCTTTTCTTCTCCCAGGATTTCCAATGACTTTGAATCAGCTGGCCTGTCTGTGTTACATTTAGTTAATGGATTTACGAAGATCAGATAAAAATGGGAATTTGGCTGTGAATTGCTTATTTTACATTTTCATGGTATTGTGCTTCCCTTTCTATTTTTACATTTTAAATTAATATGCTAGACACTCATGACAGATGGAACACGACTGCAGGAACTGACAGACAAGCTGAATCAATTGAAAATTATTGCCTGCTTGTTCCTAATTACCAACAGCATGGTGGGTGCTCTTACAGAAGGCCTGCCTGAACTTGCAAACAGGTTAAAAAGGATTTCAGCTGTTCTGCTTGAAGGCATGAATAAAGAGTAAGTTCTTTGTATTTGTATCTGCTCCCTCACATGTGAAAGCTGTGCATGTGTTTCAGAGAACAAGTATAATCTTTGTCATCCAGATGTGATATTTACCACTTTAAAACTTGTCTGACACATTCTTTTTTCTGGAGTATCTTTTGCCATTCTTTCCTAGGAAGGCAGAAGTGTTTTCCATGACAAGTGCCAGGATGAATCTAGTGTTTCCCTGTAGTGGGTGTGTACAAGTGCTTCTCTCTGACAGTGCTGTGGAAAAAACAAAAACCAGAATCCACTGAGCCATGTTAAGAATTTGCTTGTCCAAAAGGGCTTTCCAGAGCCAGGCATAGTGGCACACATCTGTAATCCCAGCATGCAGAGGCAGATGGATCTCTGAGTTCAAGGCCAACCTGGTTTATATAAGCGAGTTTCAGGCCAGCTGGGGCTACAGGGAGACCCTGTCTCAAAAAGATCAAAAAAAAAGGGGGGGGGGCTTTCCAGATTTGACTCTGCTTTATCTTTTTTTTTTTTCTTCAGTAAAATGATTACTGGCTTAATGAATCCAATCTGCTATAAAGTCTTTAGAAATGGAGAGAATTCTGTCAGATACAGACCTACTTAGTGTTTTGTTTGTTTGTTTGTTTGTTTTTTTCTAAATTCACCTCCAATATTATTCTTTCATTTAATACTAGAATCCATTTGGATTTGGGAATGTAGGCCCATCCCATGAAGACCCTGTCCAAGTCAGAAGACAGTTTAGTCAATGGCCAGGTTTCCTAAGGTTCTTATGTGGGTCTGCTCCCCCTCCACTTCCCTTTCAGGTGTTCTTAGGGGTCTGTCTTTATTCCTCCCACTCAAAGGAGATGCACCTGTCTTCCCATCTGTTACTCAGCACATAAGCCTAGATAAAACGTACACTAGGAGTCTAAGTGGTTCAGAGTTCAAGCTTCTCTTTTGGGGCTGAAACTCAAAGAATAGGATTTGCCTTGGGCTATGCAGTTAGGAAAAGGCAACCCAAGACTGACAGAGGCTCTGCCCTTTCTGCTGACTCTGATGCTGACCTGCCACACTGAAAAAGTATTAGTTCGTATTCCATGACCCACACTGAAAAAGTACCTTTCCTTTGGCTTTGTAGTTGGTCTGTCTCAACATCTCTTCATACTGAGTAACCATCACTTTTCAGAAATTTAGATTTATTAAGCATTTAGTGAGCATCCAGTGCTGCTTAGTGTTAATACAAATCATATGAAAACTGGTTACTAACAGGACTAGCTTTCAGATCAAGTATTCAGGTTAAACCTGGCTCTGCTCTTGTCTTATGTCTGGTTATATAACAGTTCTCTCTGAGCCTCATGTTCTCACTTGTGAAAAGAGAACAATAGAAGTTGGGGAGATGGCTCTGTGGTAAAGTGCCTACTATGCAATCATGAGGACCTGAGCACCCATGTAAAAGTCATGCGTAAGTGTAGTGGAGTGTGCCTGTGACCCCAGTGCTGGTGGGGAGAGCAGAGACAGACAGATCCCAGGTACTCGCTGGCCAGCCAGTCTAACCAAAACAGTGAGCTCCAGTTCAGTGAGAGACCCTGTGTCGAAAAATAAGGTGTGATCAACAAAGGAAAAAACCCAAAGTCAATCTCTGGCTTCTCCCTGAGCATACAAGTGAACACACGCCCATACTCACATACTCATAAAGGGAGAAAATAGTAATTGTCCCTATTTTGGAATTGTGAGAACACGAGATGATTCATGTGAAACTCTTAGTGCAGATGTGTACCGTGTGCTAATGAATGTTACCTATTAATGGCTATTCAGGGGTTAAATCATCCTCTTTACAGTTTCATTGAACATTATTCCTTTATAGAAAATGAATACATTCATTGCCCAAGTAAAAAGTTCCTTATGGATGGAGTAATAACATTCATGATATTAAAAAAGCACATAATCCCAAATCACCAGTAGAGCCAGATGTCATTTGCATCTAGTTTGGTGATGAATCTCAGAAACCATCAAGATTTGGCTTTTATTTTAAGTAGGAAAGCCTTGGCTTATGCTAAAATTTAATTTTTCCTTTAGCCTAAGAACTCACTGATTAAAGCACACTTTTTAGTGGATAAAAAATCAGGAGGTAAAGATTTTACTGAAACAATCTACCCTTGGATTTCAGAGCCACAAAGTCAGGTCAGCGTGGATGTATAGCAGATTCCAGTTAAGGCAGGACACCCAGGACTGATTTTTGATTGCTGTGACCACAGACCACTTTCCTTCTTCTCATTGGGCATTTACTGTACACCTGACATTCTACCAAAAGCTAATATAGGCATATAAGGAAGTTCAGTGGTAGAGCCTGGATTTGAACTAAAGTCTGCACAACACCAGAGCTTATGTCTTAATTCACTCCCACCACTAGGATGCTGCTTCCCAGCACTAGGCACCCCTCATTCTTTAATTCACATTTTTCATGGTTACTCTAAAGACTTCTGGATAATATCATTTTTAGTTATCATTCTTTAATAGTGCGGCTCTAGCAGTGCTTACTAATTCCACCTTTTTCTGGTTGACCAAATGACCAGTTCCTTAATTACTGTTTGTAATTTTCTGGACTCTGTATTTGGGATTATTCTTCAGTTACTTGAAAGTAGTAGTGGGGAGTTTATTGCCTTTGATCATCATCAGTCTCAAGTTTCAGGTATTTTGGCCTCTGAATATCTTTGTTTGTTGTTTTTATTGGTATTATAGATTTACCGCTGTGGGCATAGAAAAATGAATCGATTCTATTCCATTTTCCAAGCACATTAACAAATGTCTCTGAATGAATCCACTCATACCAATGGCCTATTTTAAGAAGTAAATTGGTATTTTCTGTCACTTTCTGGTAACCTGCATGTAGATGGGATTTATTTTGGGGGACCACACTTTTCTTCCATTGCTTTCCTATTCAGACACTATGTACATAATTGCACGCTTTAAAGCATTTAAAAATCTATTGCATGAGAGCATTGGTGGTTGGGAGAGTTACTATTTTCTGTTAATACTAATTGAATTAAGTATTGTTGACATAAAAGAAAATTGATTAAGCATATGAAATAGATTCCTATACTTAAAAACAGAGCAGAAATGCCTGAAGAACTAAAATTTGCCCTGATGCTTTTTGCTGTGTGTCTTGTAGGACCTTTAACTTGAAGGAAGCCCTGAATTCGATTGGTCTTCAGACTTGTATTGAGGTTAATAAGACCCTGAAAGAAAGGGGCTTACCCACTTTGAATGCTGAGGTTCAAGCTAATCTTGTTGGTCAGTTTTCAAGCATTGATGAGAAGGACAACCCTATCAAGACCTTAATTAGTAAGTCCGCATTTTTTAAAAATTAGTGTCTACTTCAGTTCCAATCTGCTTTAACTTGCTGTACGTGACTAATGTTTACATGTCAGTCATGTTTTAGTCTTAAACACATTAATAAAAGCTTCTGTTTAATAGAACATTTTGGATTTTGAATTTTCAGATTAGGGATGTTCAACCAATCAAGCCTACAGAAATATTTTAAAACAAAACCAAAAAAAAAAAAAAAAATACCAGCAAAATCTAAAACACTTCTGACCCAAAGCATTTTTGGATAAAAGATACTCAACCTATACTTTTGGAGAATAACTATTAGAAGTATTTTAAAGAAATACTAATATATTCAAAGGTCTGGGTCTGCTACTTCTCTGTATTTATGTAGTGGGGTGGGTGGGTGTGTTTCAGAGCATATTAACTTTCCAGTCCGTAGATTTTTATGAAGAAAGTAACATAGTGATGCCAGTAACGTGAAATTCCTGGATGAATGCACAATTCACACCAGTTCTCAGTCTCCATAGAAAGATAATGGTTCTGCCCGAGCAAGCTGGAGGACACCGAGGCCCCCTTCCCAGTCAGGGCTGTAACTAGAAGGCATGATGGCTGGGTTCTCTTTGTATTTGTTGGCCAGGAAAACAGTTTTCTCAGTGTCCAGCTATATTGGCAAGTTGGGAATATGGAGAATGTATCAGTTAGGGCTTTTCTGTTATCTGTGACAAAGAATCATGATGCCTCCGCTAGCTTAAGTAAAGAGAGTATGTTTTAGTTTGATTTTTGTTGCTGTGATGAAATACCATGACTAAAACCCACTTGGGATAGGGGAGTTTATGTCGCCTTAGAGATCAGAGCCCATGATTAAAGGAAGCCAAGGCAGGAACTCAGGGCAAGCGCTTGAAGCAGAATGTGGAGGAATGCTGCCTATGGCCTTGCGTCCCTGGCTTGCTCAGCTACTTCTCTTACATAGCCCAGGCTCCCCTGCCCAGGGATGGCATTGCCTATACTGGGTTTGGCCCTCCTACATCTATTAGCAAATAAAATGTCTCACACACATGACCACAGGCCACTCCAATGGAAGAAATTCCTCAGTTAAGGTTCCCTCTTCCCAAAACTTAGCCAGGACAGGAGATTTGTTTTCTCCTGTAACTGAGAGGGCCAGGGTAGGGCTGGCTCTTGAGAGGGTGTGATCAGAGCTCCCTCATTTCCCACTCGCGTCTCATCACTGCCTTCCTCTGGGCTGGCTGGCTCCACAGCAAGATGGTGTAAGCTATAGCTTTCATCTTTGACATCAAACAAAAATCAGGAATCTACTTTCTGTTAGCTCAAACAGTGATCCATTGTGAGTCTTGTTGGCTGCAGTTGGCCTAACTGTAGGTCATATCCTGTCCTTTGAATCAGTCATGGTGATCAGATGAGAAGGTACTTAATCCTGAGACATGGATAGAGTCAGGGGACAGTCTGTACCTGATTAAGCAGGGGAGACATGGTTCCCATACACAGTCAGGGCCCTATTACCATTCGAAAGGAGAAGGCCTGGTGTTTTGTAAAGTGCAAGTGGTGACTACAGAGGTTGAAGAACCAAGACTAGAAAGAGGGAAAGAGTTTACAGTTAGAACGCACTAACATTCCAGAGTTGATCTGTGAGCTTTCCAGTGCATCATTGGTTGCCCTAAAAATGCAGATACATTTTATTGCTCCAGTGTTTTTTTTCTCATCCTTAACCCTGGGATCATAGAATACCACGGGTTCAGGATGAACAGGCTGCTTGCATGGCCCAAGATTTCATCTTGACCCCAGAAAGGAGCAATGCTGGGGTACAGCATTGTGAATGACAGTAGAGGTTGCCCTAGGAGGAGACAGTTGGTAATAGTAACTGGCAAGATACTTGTCACGCCCCTACCTTCACACCTTCATATGCTGACCTGTGTCTGCCCTCATAGTGAGAGCATAACTCTGGGAGATTATGTTCCAGGAAGAAGAGGAGGGTAAGGGGTCTGAGACACAGACACATGCTGCTGGATCCCTATCAGTATGCAGCCCTCATGATCACGGGGCATGTTTGTTTTCTGCGCTGTGCTGAGCCTGCCCTTAGATGACATTTAATAATTGTAGAATGCCCAAGGTCACATAACTAGCTGGGACAGACTTGGGATTTTTACCTCTCCTGTCTGGCTCCAGGGCTCCTCTTCCTAGCTGTTCTGCTCAGTGCTTGAGTCAGCTGGAGCCCCACCGAGTGGCCTAAGCCTGTCAAGAAGGGTAGGGGGTGGGGCGGGCAGGCAGGAGATGCCACTTGAAGGTCTGGTAAAGCAGCTTTTGTTTCCCAGCTCTCCCTGGGCCAACTTTCCTGTCCTTTTGCACCTTAAAAGTATTTTTCAATCTTATTTGAAGTATCATTTCCCTGGCTACTTGAGTGACTGTCTTGAGTGTCTCTCCTTTGACTCTGGAAGCGGAGGACACACCTTTGGCAGGGACTCCATTTGTCCACTTCTAACTGATCAAATTCTCCTGTAGTCTTGGCCTAAAAACTGACTTGTCCACAGAGGAGGCAGAACCACTTGTTGGCATAACAGCAGTTTTGAAAGGGTTTCATTTTTAAACCTTCCTGTGACAAAGTATTTGGATCATATCTCTGCTGAAGATAGATCTCAGGCGTTCTGAAGAGAAAGTCTGCTGGGTTTTTACATGCAGAGAAACTAGCATAAATTAAGCATTTAGATCCCTGGCACATAAGGGAGAGTTGGCCAGCATTGGCCTTGGGCCTTCTCCCTGTTCGTGGTACCCATACTCTGCCTCCTTGTACTTAGCTGATGCGCTGTTTGTCAAGAGCATCACACTTCTGTGTTGCAACCTTTTGAAAAGGTAATTATAAAGGGAGTTCTCTTTCAAACCAAACCAAAGCCAGGTAAAATTATCTATGGGTTACCTGCTGTATAGAATATATGCATGCTTACAACCAGGTACATTTTTGAGATGTGATTTTCAATTGCCTAAGTGATATATGAATAATTTCTCCTTGTTGAAATGCACAGGTGAGGCTTCTGTTGTCCTTGCTCGCCTTCTCCAGGCTCCGTTCTGCCCTGCCTCCCATTGTTTTCAGTTTGGTATTTGTAAAAAGTTTCATGTGCTAGAATGGGCCAGCTTGGCACAGCACTAGTTGTCCAATAGGACTGTGGTCTAATCTGTGTGTACATTTGTTTTTATGTAGCAGTCTCCACAGAAGATGCAGTGAGGCAGGTAGGGATTGTCGGCTGTGTGCAGGATGACTGGATAATTTATTAACAAACTGGATGTTTCTGAGAGTGTGTTCTTTAACTACAGCAGAGCAACAGGTGTAAACTTTGACTCTCGTAAGGAAACCTAGAAGTGTGGTCGTGCTTGTTCTGTGTTAAGCTGAACTCCCAAGTGTGCTAGATTTCTACATTTTTTTTCCACAAAGAACCAAAAATTTGGATTTCTCTGTGAAATCCCAGATTTTAAATAGATTTCATTAAAAAAAAAAAAGAAACATGATGTTGGCTGAATTGGCAGCGTCAATTTATAAACTTAGCCTCAGTAACAGTGGTGGGTGTTGAGGACTGACTTTTGTAAAAGAGTCTGCCTCACAAAGCACTATTTTTCAAATTGGGTCAGCTATTATTATATAGCAAGTTACCCTAAAACGCTATAGCCTGAATTTTTTTGTAACCTCTCACAAGTCTGTAGGGCAGCTAGGTATTTCTTTGGTCTTGTTGAACTCATTTATGTTAGCTATGGCTTAGGTTGGTAGTCCTGTTGATCTTGGCTGGGCTCTATCAGGAGTTTGGGAGTTGCCTGGTCTCTCCCGTGGAATGGGGAGAGCTGGGTTTCTCTCCGCTTGGTCTCATCCTCAGCAAGCTCAGCCTTATTCACATGATGATGGTAGGCCAAGGGGATGTCAACCATGTGTCTTGAGGCTTAGGCATAGAGCTGGCATGTTGGCATTTCTAGAACACTGTGTATTAGTAAAAGTGGGTCACAAGGTCATTTGAGTTTTGAGGAATAGGGAAACATGCTCTATTCCTTAACGGGAAGAACTGCAGTACACCAGAGTAGAAGCAGAGGCAAGTGGGAACCTTATTGCTTGCTTTTAAAAATTACACACTTTAACAGTGGGACAAGGTTAAGAGCACTGGCTGCTCTTGCAAAGTACTTGGGTTTGGTTCCCAGCATCCATACTGCAGTTAACAACCATCTGTAACTCCATTTCCAGAGGATCTGACACCCTCTTCTGGCCTTCTCGGGCATTGCACACATGCATTTACGTATATGCAGGTGAAACACTCATACATGTGAAAAAATACATTAAAAAATTTAAAAATGCCAGTGTGGTGGTTCAGGACTTCAATCCCAGCACTTGGGAGGCACAGGCAGGCAGATCTCTGTGAGTTCAAGTCCAGCCTGATCTACATAACAAGTTCTAGGTCAGCTGGGGCTACAAGAAGACTCTGCCCAGGGTGGGGAGAATACATACATATATATGTATATATAAGGCTGGCCTGGTCTACATAGTGAATTCCAGGCCAGCTGGGGCTACAGGGAGACCCTGTCTCAAAAAGAAAAAAAAAAATTTATTTTTTAAAATAATAATGGGACAGATAAAGACACTATTTTTTTCCCTTTAGATAAACGAATCCAGTTGTACATGAAAAGCCTACTTTGTCTTCCAAGCCCTCAGAAAAGCATGCCTCCTGTGCCAGGAGGCCTTGATGTCATTCAGCAGGAGCTGGAAGTGCTGGGCTGTCAGTATACAAACATCGTGAATCTCAACAAACAAGTGTATGGACTGTTTTATGCAAATATATTCCGAAAACTGCTCTTCGGAAACGAAGCCATGGGGAAAGTAGATGCTTCCCTTCTAACTAACTGAAGAAAAACTGACACTGAAGATGAGAGGGGAACTCCAGCACCTTGGTACCCATTCTGTCTCTATTGATGGCATTGTAGACCCATCACATTCTCAGTGCTGTCCATGGAGCAGTATTAGACTGAATCTGTGTAACCTGGTAATGTTAGCCTCACAGAAGAGCTGCACATCTCATAGATTCCTTTTACGTACCAATTTCAAGTTTAAAGCAGATAGTTTAATGAACAAAAAGCAATTTGTAATTATATTACCTATGTAATACTTGTGTTTCTTAAACAATTATACTAAGCATTTATATTTGGCCTGTTCAATTCTGCCTGAAAGGAGTTGTTTTCCTCATTGTGGTTATCACATCTAATGATATTTAATTTTGGTACATCGTAAAGGGCTGACAATTGTAAGGATAACCAAGGGAATTCATATTCTGAGTAACAGGAAATAAACATAATTATTGGAAATGTATAGTTATGTTTTATTGATGTGTCATAGTGTAACTTGTGTTACAAGTTAACTTGCTATCTGAGAAAAACAAGTTTGGAAAAATTTCTTAGTGAATGTCCTTGCATTTCTCAGGCCATTGATGGGTTATATAAGATATTAATGTTTTTATGTAAGGCAGGACTGGTTTGATTTCTTCATAAGAAGGGAAGTTTACAATAAAATGAGATCCCATTCTCCATGAAGTTCATATCTGAAGAAACAATTGAACTTGAATTTAATTTTTTTTTCTTTTTTGATTTTTTGAGACAAGGTCTGCCTGTAGCCCCTCAGTCCCATAGAGATCTGCCCGCCAAACCCTCCCAAGTGCAGGGATTAAAGGTGTGCACTACCATATCCCGTAACTTGGAGGTTCCTTAACAACATAACCTAACTAGCAGATGCCCCTCTTGCTATGTGAACCCTTGCACTGTTGTAACCACATCATCATTAGCCATTCCTGAGCATGACTGGAACCCGGCACCACCGGCCACTAGTTGTCCTTGAGATTTTAGAGAAGTCTGCTTATTCTGGAATCACGTGTTCCTTTGACACGTGGCAGGAAGCAGCTTGAGGGTGCTCAGGCTAGAAAGGGCATTAGTTGCATGAAATCTATTTTGGACTGTTCTGTTTCCCAAGGCCCCACTGAGCATCAGTAAATTTTGGAGAACTACCTAGTTCATAAAAAGAGCGAGCCTTTCTTCTTCAGCCTCCTTTTTCTCACTGTGACCTCCAGCATTATGAAGTTCTAGGACATAATTGTGTGGATAAATTACTTCTGATCTTTGGCATTTGTGGGGATTTGAATATCAGGGTTTTCTCCCCTAAGGACTGATATATTAGTGAACCATCCGGTCCATTCAGGCATCTCTAAGTGGACTGCACCCAAGAGCAAATACTGGTCTTACAACCATCTTCTCTCACGTTCCCATTCTGCCAAGTTTGCCAGTACTTAGAAACCTGTCTTCAACAGGATGCTGAAGACTTCGGTTTTCTTTCTGTGATGCTGATGTAGTTTGTGTTTTGTTCTGTTTTTCAGTATGCTCACTTTGAGGAGTGGGCAGTGGGGAGAGTCGCAGTAGAAAGGCCTCCAGTGCTCAATGTGTGGGGCTTTGTTGCTTTCTAAGGTGAATTGTATGCTGATTGTGTGGTATACATTTCTGTCAGATTGTAATCCAGCTGGTTTTCATGTATGTACTTGATTATACTGCAGTTGCCTGCAGGAATACAATGTGCAGACATTTTTAAATGCATTGAAAATGAAGGGCGTTCTGCTTTGTTTTTGTTAAGGGGCCAAAAAAAAAATCTGAAGTCTGGATTTAGGCAAGTACATTTATAGGATTTTTAAATCATATCTCTTAGCATGTTTATTTGACTTTTACTTAAATGTTTACTTCTACTTTTGAGGCTTTCCTAACATGGTTTTGTTTTGTAATAAAAACTTTATTAAACAGCATGCATGGTAGCATTTTCATTCTTTTATTGCCAACGCATGTACTGCATATACTAACTAAATTTTAAAATGTTTAAAAATTATTTGAAGATAACCAATGCCTCTGTTTCCTAACTACCTTTGGGTAGCTCGGGGTGGAATATTGGACCGTCTTTATTAGTTACGATTTTTGCACTGATCTTCAGAGCCTTACAGACATTGCGTCATTTCATTCATCCAGTTAACAAGAACCTTTGGAACATCTACTGTGTGTCAGGAAGCTAGTGCCCACTTCAGAAAAGCAATGTAGAAATTAGCATAGTCCCTACACAAGGATGATGTGCAAAGTCCCGAGGTAGTCCACGCTTATTAGCAAAATAAGCCAGATTCAGAAAAACAAGTATCACATGTTCTGTCTCATGTGCAGAATATATTTTTTCCTAAAAGTCATGAAAGCAGAAGGACAATTTGGTAAGAAAGAGGAAGGGGCAAGCTGTGTGTGTGTGTGGACGAGAGTGTGATGGGGGTGTGAATGCAATAAAATGTTTTCACAATCTGGTGGCACAATCTGTAATCCCTGGGACTGGAGAGATGACTCAGTGGTTTAAGAACACTGGATGCTCTTGCAGAAGACCCGGGTTCCATTCCCAGCACCCACATGGCACCTAACAACCATCTATAACTCCAGTTCCAGGGGAATCCAATGCCCTCTTCTGTCATGACACAGGTGCACTTACATACATGCAGGCAATATACTCATACACATAAAAATAATATTTAAATAATTCTGTAATCCAGCACTCAGTAGTCCGAAGCAGAAGGACCACAAGTTCAAGGCCAGCCCTGAGCTACAGAGACCCTGTCTCAAAAAAAAAAAAATCATAATGAAGCCTATTATTAGTACAGTTAATATATGTTACAAAGTTTTTAAAACAAAGCACAGTTCAATAAAAACAAACTTGTGAACAATCATAGTAAACTGTGACAAGGGCTATAAGAGAAGCATGATTGGTGCCAGAGAAAAGATTACCAAATTCTCCCATGGAGAGGACAGTTTTGGGGCTAAAACCTGAAGGATACATAGGAATTTCAGGTGTGTTCTGTGCATTGAGTGCAACGGCTGAGAGAGGTGAAGAGTCCAGGGAACAGCAGGAGGAAGATTGAAAGGACGAATGCCGAAATAAGGGTGAAAAGACTCTGGGTGTCTGCTGAAATTCACTGACTCTGAAACAGAAGGCCACAGACAAACAGCATGAAGATTGCCCTTGTGAAGACCTCTTGGTGGTGGTGCTATCATGTTCTTGTGTGCTGTGCGTATTGTACAAGCAGTAATAATCTCCTGGTAACTGAGGCTGTGCGGGGGTTTATTGGATAGATGGGAAGTACCTCACAGAATTGAAGAGTCAGTCCTGGAAGACAGATGGGCACTAAAGCAAGCTGCAGGCATCCAGCCATGCTGAGGTTGAGTTCCCAGCTCCTTCCTCCTTTGCCTCATCTGAATATGATTCCAAGTCCCAGATATCAATACTTACTTGAGTGAGTCTAGATCAAGCGTCCATGCCCTAAGTGGAGAAACAAGAGAGAAGCTGACTCTTAATCCTGGAGCCCCACTAAAGTTATCCTCTTGAGCCAAATATAGTGATGCATGCCTTTAATCCCAGCACTTGGGAGGCAGAGGCAGGCAGGCCGCTGCGAGTTTGAGGCCAGTCTGGTCACCAAACACATTCTAAGGGAGAACTTCATCACACAAAGTCAACCTTCATTAGAATGGATGTAAGAGCACTGACTGTTCTTGCAGAGGACCCGGGTTCGATTCCCAGCACCCACATGGCAGCTATGAACTGTTCCAGGGAAATCCGAAGCCCTCTTCTGACCTCCGTGGTATTGCACAACATAGGTGCACTCACATGCAGGCAACACACTTATACACATAAAATAAAAATTAAATAAACATGGATGAACTGCTGAATAAATAGCTCCAAGTCTCAATGACCTCAGAACAGTTCAAAGTGTGTGTGTGTGTGTGTGTGTGTGTGTGTGTGTGTGTGTGAGAGAGAGAGAGAGAGAGAGAGAGAGAGAGAGAGAGAGAGAGAGAGAATAGGAAGCCTCTCCTTTTAGCCGTCCAGGACCCAGCTTCCAGTCATCCTGTGATTCTGCTGTTCCCTAGATCTTCAGAGGTCCCTTGATTCTCTCATCAGATGAAAAAGATCACCACTTCCCCTCATGTCCAGAATTCAATTGTGTGGCCTCATCTGACAGTAAGGGAGGCTGGCACATGGGCCCAGGAGGAAGAGGCTTCCATGGATATTGGTAAGCAGTAGCATTCTCCACCTCAGATCCCCCAGGCTTCCTTGAATAAGCCCCAGTAAACTTTGTCTCCAGGCAAACAGTGAAAATTCTGTGCCTGCTCTGATCGCTTGTTGCAACTCCCCAGGGTACCATGTTAAGGGGATTTTTGAAGCCAGATCCAGGATAATGAATTGTGGGTTCTGTGGTTGATTGACCAAGTGTCCTGTGGGCATCCAGTGTATTGTTTTTCCTGCTTGCTTGCGTCTTGTTTTAAATTAGAGTTCAGCCTCTTCTCCCCTGGAAATATTCTAACACTCTCCACTCTACACTGGCTGTGGTGGCAAGCGCCTTTAATTCAAGCCCTCAGGAGGAAGAGACAGGTGGATCAAGGTCAGCCTGGTCTACATAGTGACTTCCAGGTTGACTGGGACTAGGGAGACCCTCTCAAAAAACAAAAATAAAAAACTCTTCACTCAGTTCATAAAAATAGCATAGAACTGAGGTCACAAGATCTGAGTTTGAATCCCCCCTCACTCTTCCAGAGCTATGTGAGCTCAAGCCAATCTTTTTTATCTCGTGAACCAGTTATGTACCCTACATACCCACCAAACTACTTGCATACCTCACCAGGTATTATGATAATCAAATGAGCTGTGTTTGAAATTATCTGCAAACTACAGCATAATGTAGTCAGAATACATCATAACAACTGTAATTTATGTGTCCTAAATCTCTTTCAAGCTTCAAGGGGTTTTAATGTTTTGAGATGTGATAGTTAAGTATTTAACCACATAAGAACAAAATTTGTCATATCAGAACCATGGCTCATTAGGCCCAATATTGTCATTGGCAGAGAAACTCAAGGGTATAGAGAGGGCTGTTTCTTGTCCTTTGTGTAGATATCAGAGTCCAGTGGCAAAATACAACGTGTTCCCATTCCAATCAGTAATTAATTGTGAGTTTATCCTGTGGGGTTTAGCCTTTCAGAAAAATATTCATGATCAGCTTTGTGATGTCGCTCGCTCCTTTTACAAAGCTTTGGTTTTTTTTTTTTTTTTTTCATTCCTAAGCTTATTATGTTAGTCTCTTTAAGACTGCAAGACACAGGAACAGAGGGACTGTACTAAACAAGGCCTCATGAAGAGAGGAAGACACAGGAGGAGAGGAACTGTGTTAAACAAGGCCTCATGAAGAGAGGAAGACACAGGAGGAGAGGAACTGTGTTAAACAAGGCCTCATGAAGAGAGGAAACTCAGGATCTGCTGTAGGTGAATTTTTTTTCTTTTGGTCTTTTAGAGAATAATAATAATAGCCACTAGGTACTTGCATTTGGCAGGGCCTACCCTAAGCACTTTATTTAAGTTATATAACTGCATAATACATTGTGAAGCAGATGCTTTATCATTTCTCTATGTGCAGATGAGACTCAGAAAGGCTAAGGAACTTGCCTAAGGTCACAGAGGTGCTAAGTGTATTTGAACCCAAGGAAGGAGTCTAGCTCTGGATGTGTGCTGTCAACTACTCCCTATCTGGACTCCTTCAACCATTCAACAAAAAGCATTTGTCACTGTTGTGATATTACCAAATGCTGACTTGGCATTTACTTCTCCGTTTCTATGGCTTTCCCATTTGATACGTATTAATGTCGCAAGAGAGAGTATGATTGAATTTCTTCCTCCTTGCATTGGATGAGGCTCTCATAAGCTAGCTTCCACTGCTCCCTCATGTCCAACCTGGATGACTGTTTTTGGAGGGCACATGGCCTTATTATTATTATTTTGACAGAATGAGGTCATATGACAGAAGCCAAGGCTTTTCAGAGGAAACTGTGGGCATGAGAGGCAAGTGAGTTTTTGGACTGCTCAGGCTTGCTCAAAACACAAACTATTCTGATTCTTGTACTTAATGTCTCTTGCTGCTACCATCAACCTCACTGTTTGTCAAACGACGGGCTTAAAGGATTCTTTGCCTTTTCAGATTGAAGAGTCTTTATCTTCCTTCAGCACTGTCTTTGGCTCCTTCTGATTCTCAAGAATTTATCCATGTGGGGCTGGAGAGATGGCTCAGTGGTAAAGAGCCCTGTTCTTGCAAATGATCCAGGGTTTGAATCCTAGCACCCACATGGTGGCTAACAACCACCCTGTTAACTTCAGTTGCAGGGAATCTGATGCCCTCTTCTGACCTCCTCAGGCATTGCATGACTCAGGTGCATTCACATGCATGTAGGCAACATATTCATACACATAAAATAAAAACAATTTTTTTGTCTTTTTGAGACAGGGTCTCCCTGTAGCCCCAGCTGTCCTAGATTCACCATGGAGACCCGGCTGGCCTGAACTCACAGAAATCGTGCTGGGATTAAAGGTGTGTGCCACCACGCCCGGCAAAACCAAATATTTTTCCATGTATAGAAGCAGCACTGTAGATACTTTCATTCAATGTGAATGCACCAAGATTTTGGATCTACTATCTTTTGTTGTAGCCTCTCAGAAAAAATTCTTCAGCATGGCATAAAGGCTAATAGACCCAGCTCCACTGGCTCTCTCTAGTGTCACCTATAGTCTTGTCCTTGTCCAGTTCCACTTGAGAACCACATTCAGTTGCCAGAATGTGCTATGCTCTGAAAGCCCTCAAGCTGGTGGCTCTGTTAACATGTTTTCTGCTTCCTGTGCCTTTGGTGTGGTATTTATGATAGTGTAAAAGCATGAACCCCAGTGTGAGATAATTAGGGACTTAAATTAGGGTTTAAAAGATTTCTTAAACACTGTGAGGCTTAGTCTGTCACCTGTCAAGTAGATACTCGTACTTATCCTCCAGGGGTTGATCAATTAGAGAACCCACTTAAAGAGGGTATTCCAGTGCCTGGTAAGGAATAACAATTAATGATGCTCTGCCTAATCATCCAGGGGTCCTGGACATCTCTCCCTTTACCAGTGCCCCCTAATCACCAACTCCTGACTTGTCATTGGTCAATTTCTCATCTATCACGACACTCAATATAAATGAGACAGTATACAAGATGCAAGCTACTTTTCCTCTGGAATCTTCCAGATGTCTGTTCAAATCATCAGTCATTTTTTTAAATCCTCAGTAAAAGGATGTGGCAGCAGAAAACTGAGAAAGCATAAAATTAGCCTGTGCGCGCACGCGTGCGTGTGTGAGTGCGTGCATGTGTGTGTAAGGGGATGGGGGCTGGAGAGATGGTTCAGCAGTTAAGAACACTGGCTGTTCTTGCAGAAGACCCAGGTTTGAATCCCAGCACCTACATGGCAGCTAACAACTGTCTGTAACTCCAGTTCCAGGGGATCTGACAGCCTCTTTTGTCCTCTGAGGGCACTGCACGTCACAGGTACACTTACCTACATTCAGGCGATACACACATACACATAAAAATTTTAAAAAAAATTTTTTTAAACCTAGCTTTTAAGGGGATCAGAAACCATGGATTTAACCTTGGCTGCAGGTATAATGCTGGAAGGATCACAAGGGATTGTGCAGGCTAATGGCCAGCACCACACAGTATGAGCCAGCTGTTGCCATGGAGGGTTTGGGGACCACTTCTACCAGTGTTTCCTTCATTTCGAAAAGAATCATGATGGGCTGGGCGTGGTGGTGCATGCCTTTAATCCCAGCAATCAGGAGGCAGAGGCAGGAAGACCTCTATGAGTTCAAGGCCAGCCTGGTCTACATAGTGAGTTTCAGGCCAGCTGGGGCTATAGGGGAACCCTCAAAAAGACAAAAAAATAAAAAATAAAAAAAGAATCAGGATGAAACAGGAATATAATGTCAATTTTATTATTACCATTTTTGTCTTTTAAATTATGTATTTAATATGAATTCATTTAGAAACAAACAACGAACTAGATGCTGGAAACACAACAAGACAGTTCCTGTTATGGACTTCAGTCTGAAAACCTAGACAGGTAAGTGGAGGATAATGGTATCAAGTGACAGCAGCAGAGCACTTTAGAGAAATGCAGAGCTGCAGCTCCAGCCCACCAGTCAGAAAGCTGAGATGATTAGCTTTACAGATGGCTGTGATCTGTGCTAGTTAGAGAACCAGCTTTATAGTGGAAATCAAAGACAACTTTGGAGGACAGAGCCAATATTCCTGGGCCTAAGTTGACATCCTCTGCCATCCATAAGTCAGGTTCACAGTCCCATCCAGGGTACACTGTACATAGGGTGCTGTCTGGTAAGTCACAAGGATCATATACCTGTATCTTGTCTCTGTAAGTTTTAAGAATTTCAAGGGCAGGGCCTGATTATTATTATTGTTTGTTATTTAGATATATGTATGGAGGTCAGAGGACAACTCTTCTTCCACCATGTGGGTCACAGGGATTGAACTCAGTCTGTCAGACTTGGTGGCAGGAACCTTTATCCACTAAGCCATGTCACTGGCCTGTATTTTTTTCTTTTCTTTCTTCGCCTACTTTTGAAGTCTATCAGCACAGTACTTTTAAGATACAAGCACTGGAATTTAGGTAGCTAATTTAAAAATTAACTTGGGGTAAGGGGAAAATCAGAAATCCTTTATTTAAAAATTTTCAGTTTCCTTACTATGGAAAAATATAATGGTTTTAACTACTAAAAACTGGAGTTCGGGGCTGGAGAGATGGCTCAACAGTTAAGAGCACTGACTGTTCTTGCAGAGGACCAGAGTTCGATTCCCAGCACCCACATGGTAGCTACGAACTGTCCTTAACTCCAGGACTCCGAAGCCCTCTTCTGACCTCCGCGGCAGTGCACAGCACGGTTGCACTCACTTACATGCAGGCAATATACTCATACACATGAAATAAAAATAATAAATACAATATTTAAAAAACAAACAAAAAAACTGGAGTTCATAAAGCCAGATGTGGTGGCACATACTTTTAATCCTGTTGTTCAGGAATCAGAGGCAGGCGATCTCCATGAGTTCGAGGCCAGCCTGGTCTACATAGTGAGTTCCAGGCCAGCTGGGGCTACAGGGAGACCCTGTCTCAAAAAACTCTACAAACAAAAAATAGTGTATACACTGGGTATGGTGGTACATACCTTTAATTCTAGATATCAGGAGGCAGAGGCAGGTAGATCTCTGTGAGAGCGAGGCCAGCCTGGTCTACACAGCAAGTTCCAGGCCAATCAGGGATATATAACAAGATCTTGTCCCCAAAACAACAATAAGACCAGGTGTGGTGATGCATATCTTTAATCCCAGCACTCAGGAGGCAGAGGCAGGTGGATCTCTGTGAAATCAATTTAAAAAGTTTGGCAGAGGCCAAACTGTGGGTTCAGGCCAGCTGGGGGTAAAGGGAGACCCTTTCCCAAAAAAACCAAAAAAAAAAAAAAAGTGTACATTTTAGCATCATTATACACATTCACAGTGTGGCTCAACCATCACCACCATCCATCTCATAATGTTTTCATCTTCCCAAGCAGAGCTATACCCATTAAACAATTGCTGGCATCTTTTACCTTTTTTTCCAAGATACTTTTCTTCCTATTGATGTATATGAACCGTTTTGTTCTGAGACAAGGTCTCACTGTGTAGCCATGGCTGGCCTGGAACTTGCCTCTGCCTCCTGAGTGCTGGGATTAAAGTGTGTGCTACCCAGTTTATGAACTAACTTTACTTGTTCATTTATTTTTGGTCTTTTTGAGACAGTCTCCAGCTGCCCTGAAACTTGCTATGTATACCAGGCAGATTTCAATCTTACAGACATCTGCCTGCCTCTGCTTCCTGAGTGCAGGGATTAAAGGTGTGCACCACCATGCCCAGCTTCTGAACTCATTTTAAAATTAGGAATTAAATTTGTCTTCTACCAATTTGTGTGTTTTTTTTTTCTCCCTTTTTTGTCTTTTTGAGACAGGGTCTCCTTGTAGCCACAGCTGGTCTGGATTCACTATGGAGACCAGGCTGGCCTCCAACTCACAGAGATCTGCCTGCTTCTGCCTCCCAAGTGCTCGGATTAAAGGTGTGCTCTACCACTCCCAGCTCCAACTTGTGTTTTTAAAACCTATTCATGGTTATTTTTAGCAATCTATTCAGAAAATTAAACATTTTCATGAAATGATAAAAATACTTAGATTCTATTATCAAATACTTGATGCTTTCCTGTTGCCATCTTTGAAGTCCTTCACAAAGTCAATGTTATTAATACATTCTTTCACTACTTTTTTTTTTTTTTTTAAATAGGGTCCATGCAGCCCAGGCTGGCCTTAAACTCCCTATGTAGCCTAGAATGCCTTGAACTTCTGATCTTCCTACCTCCACCTCCCAAATACTGAAATCACAAGTGTTTACCACCATGCCTGATTTATATGCAATGCTGGGTTTATGCAAGGTAGTGGGGATCAAACCCAGGGTGGGGTGCAAACTGGCAAGTGCTCTACAAACAGTACATTTTCTTCTACAGTTTCAACATTGAAATATATAATCCACACAGGATTTAAGTGTATTTTTCTCCCAAACCACTAATTAGTCTTACAACATTTATTGGCTTTACCCTATAGATTTAAATGTCTTTTCATGCTAAATTTCTGTGTGTTAATTTACTTCTAGATCTTGTGTCTCAGACTTTGAATACTGAACATTGTTTTTGTTAGTCCTTATTACCACTAGAGTTAATTCCTTCCTACCTTATTATGGTCATTACACACCGGTACCATCAATTATTTTACCAACCACTTACTACTAGACATTTGTAAACATTTCTTGCTATTTGTACTACACAACATGTACAGTTTTAGACTGAATAAATGAATTCTCGGCGTCGGTGGTTCAAGCTGTTCCCAGTAGCTGTAGATTATCCAGTCATTCTCCAAATTACTTTTACAATTAGAACGGCTCTATTTTGTCATTCTCTATCACTGGAGAACTGGCAATATAAACTTGTCTGTTGGGAATCTAGATTACCCGGGCTAGACCTCTATACGACACCAGGGGGCGCAGTTTCCAGACTCGGCCACATCCGGGTCCCGTCGCAAGTTCGGCTCCCAGCAGGCGGAACACTTTTAACACACCTCCAGTAACCCAGCGCGACGGGGACGGTTTAGGCATGCGCACACCGCTCCCCAGGCGTGCTGCTTGCTTGGGGCAGCGAAGGCGGGTGTGGATCTTCGTTTGACTTCTTCCTGTACCGGGCGCGCCATGGACGTGCTAGCGGAGGAATTTGGGAACCTGACCCCGGAGCAGCTGGCGGCGCCGATCCCGACTGTAGAGGTAAAGCGCCGGGAGCACCGGGAGCGGAAGGGGCTGGAGACGACTGAGGAGGCGGTACCGGGAGAGCAGCGGTCGGGACGAGGGCGGGCCGGTGGCTTCTGCGCATGCTCAGGACTTCTGCGCATGCTCGCATCTCCTTTCCTTTTCTGGCGGTCGTGTCCTGGTGGCCACGTGAGCGGAGAGCGGCTCTTAGCAGCTTCCCGGGTGTAGACGGCCGGCGAGTGGCCCTGGGGGGGAAGTCTTTCCAGTGGAGAAGTGCACTGGCCAGGATTGGCCCTCTCCCCCAGAGGACCAGGATCAGGATCGCTTTCTTACAGGGAAAGACACCGAGGGCCAGACAGCTCAGGGCACTTTCCTGAGGTCCAGTAGTTGGCTGTGGTGGCAAAACGCAATCTGTATCCTAGACAGCAAGTCGGTCCTTTCAGCCCAGAGTGTCTTTGGTCAGCAGGCTCAGGACGAAGTGCCTTGAATAGTTCAAGTTTTAGCTTTTGTGTTTTCTGACGGGAAGCTCCATAGTTTTTGTCAGTCTCAAAAGTTAAGGATACTTGCCCTGCAGTGAGCTTCCTGATGTTAGAAGTGCAGCTATTGGTATCATCTTTTTTCCTCGAAAGAAACATGTAGTTCCGCTGAGCCCCAAAATCTTTGGCACAGAATGGGAAAGTCTAGAAGGGACGACGGTTAGAGGAGAAATTTCAGGCAAAAAAACAGGCTGACTGGAATCCCTCAACAAGACATTTCCGAGGAACTGAAATCCAGTAATACTGGGGGCGGGAGAGGTGGCAGTAATAGATGAAGGGTAAGTAAGGGTCCAGAATATGAAGTGTGTTAGCTATCTGAAGAGTTAGGTATTCTTCCTGGGAGCAATAAGATACTTTTGAAGGATTTAAAAAGGAGTGACATGACCACTGTAATGAATAAGAACCTCCCTATAATTGGCAGGTTAATAAAATGGAATAAGTCCATGAGAGTCAGCCTATAATACAAGTAAACCTTGATAATAACTTTGAAGGGTTATTATCAAGAGATAGCATTTACTGAGCACTTAACTGTGTGCCAGGCTCTCTCTGTTTAACCATTGACGGAAATACTGTTTTTTCTTTAATTTTGCCACAGTCACAGTGTTCTTAAGTAATTAGTCCAGTGATTGAAGGCTGGTTGATCTGCAGTTTGAACTCATCAGCCCAATTTGAGAATCTTCACAGTGACTGCAGACTAAACTTTCTGTAGAGGGCTGGAAAAAGAAAAAGGTGTATATATTTCTCATCTGAACTTGCAGTACTTCAGTTCCAGCCATCAGATTCAGGAGCAACTGTTCTGATCCCTGCCCTTTACATGCAGTCTACTAACATCTGCCATGTCCTGCCTCCCAAATATACACAATCAGAAGTTTCATGCCAGCTTTTCCCTGACATGGAATCATTGTCATCTCTTACATGGCCTACCTGGCTCCTGACTTTCCCACTCTAGTCTGTTCTCTGCTCTGCAGCCATTGCCATCAGTTTAAACACACAAATATTATGTTACCCTCTAGTTAAAATTCTTCAGTCACTGCCCGTTGGCTCTTGGGGCAAAATCCAAAGTCTTTAACAAGTTTGTATTTCCTAAGTCTGGCCAGTGCTTAGCCCTCCAGCTTCTTTCCCACCATTACAGACTGCCTGCCCTGAGATTTTCTACCGTATGCTTACACTTCTGGAACTTTTTCTCTTTCCTGTTTGTAGATTGAATTCTGCATGTCTGTGAAGGCGTTTAAGATCTTTTCCCTACCTACTGTCATAGTGGCCTGTCCTGTACTAATGTCTGTAGCTGTTCCCAGACTTCTTCCCACTACTCATTCTCTGTGATGGCCTCAGTTCTTAACATTCTTACTGAGCAAATGAGCGCAATAATTTTATTATCTTTGCCAAAGAAGTGTCTCCACAGGCATTGGTGACTCTGGAGTGACATTGTGCTCCTTTATCCTGAGTATTCCTATCTATATTTGTGAGATACACTATAACTTCATTGTTGAGCTAAGGAAGATTGATCTGAAATTGATTGAGCTAGTACAGTATTCAACTTTCCAACTTCATTTTCTCTATAACCTTCTAGACAGAAATTCTCTTTTACATGAGTTAATCATGCCTCATATGTTTTCCATTCATATCATAGCCTGGCAGGAAGAATAGTAAAAGCTTGGAGGTCAGTTATGATAGATAGTTATGATTAGATAGATAGATTGATTGATAGAATAGTTGGTGAACAAATACTGGTATTATTGAGTACTTACCTAGTAGTGTATCACTTACAGGGTTAAAACAAGTAAGCAAACATATTTCCTGACTTCCAGAAGCAATTCTCTTAATAGGGGGAGACAAGTAAGCAAATGGAGCCCCACTCAGGTGCTGTGGTAAAAGTGTGCAGAGTGGTAGATGGGTATTATAAATGGTAGCTGTCCTGGAATGCCTGAACATAAAGATGAGTCTTGTGAGGGAGGCATCCCAAATAGAAAGAGCTACCCTGAGCAAGAGCCCCCAGGACCTGGAGGAGTTGGCAGGGATGAGAACACAGAGGATGTATATGACTTTCTGTGGGTTAGACCTGGTAAAGAGGGTGGGCACACTGAAGAGACTTAAGGTAGAGAAGGAGATGGTCAGCTCTGCAGGTGAGATCATGCACTGTGGCTCCAGTGCTAAGTCTTGAGAGGCACAAAGGAGAAGACCACAAAGGAGGCATTGTGGTCCAGGTGGAAGATGAGACTCTACTGATGCAGCAGCAAAGGGTGACTGTGAGGGACATCAAGGATGTGGACTCACAGGTGTGCCCCACTTATGGGTGTTGTAATGTCATCTACAAAGCTCCATGCATTGAATTACATGTGTGTGCACCATAATAAAGTTTTACGTAAGTTTACAGTTTCTGTTGGGCACATTCCTAGCTCTCCTTAACTGCATGCATTGCAGGTTGGACATTCCTGCAAGCAGGACCTGATTTCCTGTTGATTCGGAGGTGCTGGGCATAAATGAAATAAGACAAACACTGCACATTTTCTCATGTAGAAACTAAAAAATGCAGAACTAAAAGAATAGTGTATTAGTTACTTTCATTGTTGCTGTGGCAAAATATGACCAACTGCACACATGAAGCAGAGAATGTGAACTGGAAGTAGGGTAAGGCTCTAAACTCTCAAAGCCCAGCATCAGTGACATACTTCCTCCAGCAAGGCTCATGTGTTAAAAGTTCCACAGCCTCCCTCGAACAGCTCCACCAACTAGGGACCAAGTGTGCAAGCATACGAGCCTAGGGGGATATTTCTCATTCAAACCACCACAAATAGCAATTACTAGAAGCTAAGTTGGGGAACTTGGAGAATGAGTCCTAAATTCTCTTAGGGGGTGGAGAGGTAGCACATTCCTTAGGCCTTGGGTTTGGGCCCCAGTAGCACAAAAAAATAAAAAATAAAAACAAAAAAAAGGGAGGAGATGGCTCAGTGGCTGAAGTGCTTGCTGTGTAACCATGAGGACCTGAGTTTGGATCCCCAGCACCCACATAAAAGCCAGGTGTGGTGGGTGGGGGTACCTGTGTGGGGGACACAGAGATAGGTGGATCCCTTGAGCTTGCTGGCCAGTATACCTGAATTGATGAACTCCAGGTTCCATTGAGGATACACTGTGTCAGAAGAATAGGTGCAGAATGATAGAAGAATATGCCCAACATCAGCCTCTGGATTCCACATACATGTGCAGGAATACCTGTGCACACAAGAATACATGCAGACACCACACACATACAAACTACCACCAAAACCCAGCAAATACAGGAATAAATTACAGTGTTACACAGCACAGTGGGGTGATGATAGCTCACAATAACCTATGACATATATTTTTAAATTTTTAAACATTTTTATTTTGTGTGTATGAGTGTTATGCCTGCATGTATGTAAGTGCACCCATGTCATGCAGTTGCCCACAGTAGATAGAAGAGGGCATTGGATCCCCTGGAACTGGAGTTACAGTTGGTTGTTAGCTGCCATGTGGGTGCTAGGATTCGAACCTGGGTCCTCTGCAAGAGCAGCCAGTGCTTTTAACTGTTGAACCATCTCTCTAGCCCCAGTATAACCTATTATATTGTTTATGAACGTCACAATATTGTAGTTTTATTACTAAAAGAAAGAAGCTTTAGGTTTCCAAACATAAGTAACAAAAACAAGGAAATGATATTTATCCTGAACTATACTGTACCCCATAAATATATACAATTATCATTTGTTTATTAAAAAGAAAATACAAGAAAAAGAAAGCATCTTTCCAAAAAAGTGTCAGGGAGGTAGGACTCCTGGATATCATACCTAGAATTGGGTGCTGTTTGCTGAGATTGGGAATGGAGTGGGAGTTACAGTTCTGGACATACTGAGTCTGAGTAGACTTTGGGCCAATAAAGTGGATTGGTCCCTAGCCAGTGGCTCACTGTATTACTGATTTGTTTATTGATTCGGTTTGTACTGGGCATCTTCTGTGCCAGGTACTGTGGTTAACCAGGTACAGTAACTACCCTTGCCAGAGCTCCATTTGGAAGTAGGGGTAAGGGGATACTAGGGGAAGCTCAACATATATTTAAGCCCTCTATCCCCAGTCTTGCTGGAGAATGAGGAGATGTTGTCAGGGATAGCCTTTGAGGAGCACAATGTCTACACGGTGGGCAGAGAAAAGAAGAGCAAGAAGGTCCTTTGTCAGTCCCTGTCTGAGACAGGAACTGGATCTCACATAGCCCAGGCTAGAATTGAACTTTTTGTGTAGCTGAGGCAGACCTTGAGCTCCTGATCCTGCTTCCACCTCTCTCATTAACTAGTATATCAGGCATGGGCCACCATGTCTAGCTCAATGAATAGTTTGTTTTGAAAGAAAAAACTGGTAGAGAGGGTGGTTGAGCGTCTAAGAGTTGGGAGAATGGACACAGGGGAAGGTTTCCCATTTTCTAGAGATCGGAAGGAATGTGTTTGTGGCAGGAGGGTAAGCTTCCTGTCTTTGAGACAGGAAGAATTCTGTTGGGTACAGAGGGGGAAACTTGAAGTGTAGGAGTAGAACATTGGAGAGTTAGATTAGTTTGCAGGGTTTCTGTACCAAAATACCACAGCTGGATAGTGTAAAAAATAGAAATTTAACTTTCTGAAGGCTGGAAGTCCAAGAGCAAGGTCACAGCAAAGCTAGTTCCTTCCAGAAGCTGGGAAAGAAGCCATCCCATACCTCTTCTCCAGCTTCTGGTGGTTTGCTGCCCAGCAATCTTGGGTATCTCTTAGATTATAGAAATAACACCCAACATCCATCCATGTTCATTATCACATGACACTGTCCCTGTGCGTGTCTGTCCAAGTTCCCTTTTGCTTTATTTAATTGGGCTTCACCTTAATGATGTCATCTGAATAATTGAGATCTTCAATCCTATTTCGAGGTCAGATCATATTCTGAGGTATTGGCAGTTAGAAGTCTACATGGGAATTCTGAGAGGGGCATAATTCAGTCTGTACTGTTCCTGTTGCCAGTTTTCTTTCTTTTATTTGTTTAATCATATGTAATTTATATATGATAAAATGTACAGTGGATTTCTTTGATTTTGATCATTACATGCCCAAACAATTGTCATATACTCTAGAAAGTTCTCTTAGCCAAACACCCTTTACTTTCTTCTTTCTTTTTTTAGATTGTTCTTTTTTAAATTTTAAATATTTTATTTATTATTTTTATTTTGTGTATGAGTGTATTGCCTGCATGTATGTGAGTGCACCTATGTCTTGCAATGCTGTGGAAATCAGAAGAGGGCGTCGGATTCCCCTGGAACTGGAGTTAAGGACGATTCATAGCCACCGTGTGGGTGCTGGGAATCAAACCCGAGTCCTCTGCAAGAGCAGTCAGTGCTATTAACTGCTGAGCCATCTTTCCAGCCCCATTTTTTTTTTTTTTTTTTTGGTCTTTTTTTAAGACAGCGTCTCCTTGTAGCCCCAGCTGGCCTGGAGCTTGCTTGCTATGTAGACCAGGCTGGCCTTGGCTCACAGAGATCCACCTGCCTCTGCCTCCCCAGTGCTGGGATTAAAGGCGTGTACTACCACGCCTAGCCAAGCTAGCCCAATTGCCAGGCCTCCCTTCTTCCTTATTTCCAAATGTAATGCTCTCGATCTCATTTTATGCAGGTTTCTCTCATCCATGCCCCTTAAGTGATCTCATCCATCTCTTGACTATAATTATCATCCAGTTACTAACTGCTCCCTAGTGTGCACTCCCAGGCCACTCTAGTTCCAAGTTCCAGGCATGTGTTGCCTATTGACATTTCCACCTGAATGTTTAATTGGTACCTTGAACTAAACGTGCCCCAAACCACATTCCTGAGGGCTCCTGTCCCCCAACCTCCAAACCTGTGACTCCTGCACACTTCGTTGTCTATTCATCCCGGTCAGTGAGTGTTCTGTCCCTCTAGCTCCTCAGACCAGAAACTCGGGTGTTAATTTTAGCTGCACCTTCTCTCAGAGGCACCATATAATCCATATCTCATTGGCTTAACTCCAAATTATGTCCCTAGCTAAGAGTTACTTGGCACTACCTGTGCTGTTGCCAGCCTGGGCTACCACAGTAAACGAAGTGATTTCCCTGCTCCAGCCTTGCTTATTCTACTCTAGTGAAAATGAGCAAAGCTATCTTGTCAGTCTTTTACTCAGAACTGCCCAGTGTTTCTCAGGTCATCCAAGTTAAAACCAGTTTTAATATTAGCCATAAGGTCCTGGGTTATCCATAGGCCTTTCCTTAGGAACCGTATAGTCTGACTTTAAACTCAGCTGTAACCATTTGTCAGAATTCCCCTTAGCAGATTAGAAGTCAGATGTTAAAAGAGGCTGTCATCGTATGTAGTAGTCTAGAAGTGTGGCAGTTAGGAGCCCTTCAGTGGAGGAGCAAGCGTCTGTGTGCTGACCTCCTTCCTGAAGCTTTGAGGGAGCTCTGACCAGACGCTACTTTGGAAAGAGTGAGAAGAAGAAAGAATTTGATTCAGTCCCAAGCCCTGGTGCCCCCGCCAGATTCTGAGACTTACTGTCTTTTCAAACTAGCAAACCTCACTTAGGAAGTACCATGGGAGTAAAATGTGAGATGTGTTTGGAATGTTGTCATCAGAAGAGGTTATATTTAGGGATACCTGTGATGTGTATGCATGTACACACAGAAAAATTATTTGTGCCAAGGTAGTTAAGATTTAAAAGTTATTTTTTTTTGTTTTGATTTACTTCCTTCTGCTCACTGATAAACTTGGTACATCAAAATTATTGTATATTGTGGTTGCTGGTACAGAGTTCTGACTTTCTTATTGTTTGGTCCACAGGAAAAATGGAGGCTGCTTCCAGCATTTTTAAAGGTAATTGTTTAATATTTAGTAATAGGTGGTTATTTTTCATATGATAAAAGCCAGTAGATGGACTTTTAACAATTGAGTTTTTATCACTGACTTTTTTTGACTTTGTATAATTTTGTACTTTGCTTAGTTTTGGATGAGCAATTTGTGTGCATGTGTGTATGCACGTGTGCGTGCACTACTGGGGATTGAGCCCAGGGTGTTGTACATGTCACACATATACCCTCCCTCCCCAAATCTTTATTTTAAAAAGAAGGGAAAATGGATTTTGTTTAAGAGTTAACAAAATGATGCCCGTTGCTGGCTTTATTCCCCCCACCCCATGGATTTTTAACTTTTGGAGATTCAAGTATGTCTGAATACTCATGAATTTCAAGAGCCAGGTTGCCTCTCAAGGGGAATTTGGGGATGTACTAGTAAGATGGTGGAGAAATGGAGTGAAAACACATTAAGGAAAAGCTTTCCTAAATAAATTCATGAATCTTTCCCTCACTTTAATTTTGAAGAAAATTTGTTGTTGACCTTCAGTTAAAGTGAACTAGATCACCTATTATTTTGTTGATGACCTCTGTTCCTTCTCTCCATTTAGGTGAAAGGCCTTGTGAAACAGCATATAGACTCATTTAACTATTTCATTAATGTAGAGGTAAGCATCCAGGATTAGAGGTAGACATACACAGAAAACTAACCTGAAGTCAGAGCTCCTTCCTAATATTGCACTCCCCCTTGCAGATAAAGAAGATAATGAAAGCCAATGAAAAGGTTACAAGTGATGCTGACCCCATGTGGTACTTAAAGTAAGGAACCTGCTGCTCTTATGCAATACTTGGATTATTTTAAAAATGTTAAGGCACATGTAGTTACTGTCAAAGCTCTTGTAGAACCATTCTTTTATCTCTAATAAGTTAAGTGCAAAGTGCTTGAGTTTAAATTTTAATTGGCAAACTATAAGTAGAGTTCTGAAACTATTGTTTTAACTCTTTTAAACAAGCCTTTCTTTTAATGAATTTTAGACATACAAAAATTGAAAAAATAGTACAGCGTTCTCCTATATTCCCCACCCAACTTATGCTAATATGTCTTATATAACCATAACACAGTTATCAGAACCATAAAGGTAGCACTGATCTAGTACTACCAGCTGAACTATAGACCTGACTGGATGTTTTCCCCACTGGTGTCCTATTTCCCCTGCTGGAATCAGGACATGCTAGGTTGGATTCCTATCTGTCTGTCTTTTTTTTTTTAATTTAATTTTTTTTTATGTGTATGAGTGTATTGCTTGCATGTATGTGAGTGCACCCATGTCGTGCAATGCCGCGGAGGTCAGAAGAGGGCTTCAGATTCCCCTGGAACTGGAGTCAAAGATGGTTCATAGCCATCTGGGTCCTCTGCAAGAGCAGTCAGTGCTCTTAACCACTGAGCCATCTCTCCAGCCCGTCTGTCTTTCTTTTTAAAGATGTATTTTTATTATCTTTTTAATTATGTGTAGATGTGTGTGTCTGTGTGTGGATATGTGCATGAGAGTGCAGATACCTGCAGAGTCCACAAGAGGGCCTCATATCCTCTAGAGCTGAGTAGGCAATTGTATGCCACCTGATATGGGTGCTGAGGACTGAACCTGGACCCTTGGCAATAGCAGGCAGCACTCTTAACACTGAGCCATCTCTCCAGCCCTAGTTGTTTCTTAGTCTCTTGAATCTGATAGTTAATCAGTCTTACCTGGTGCTTCTGGCCTTGACACTTTTGAATAGTCTGGTAAGATTTTACAGAGTCTTTCAGTTTGGCTGTATTATGATATTTGCTCTTGATTAGATTAGATTATGTTAAGCATTTTTGGCAAGAATATCACAGGCAATGTTTTGTGTCATTTTTTTTTTAACATGAATTGCTTTACTTTTTTCTAATATATATTATTGAATTTTTGTGAATTTCATACATCTTAATCAAATTTAGACCCTCCTCTCCTATCTGTACCCTGCATTCCCCCCCCACCCCAGATTTCATGCATTCTCTTATATATGTTAAAGCCTCCGAGGTTAAGTTTGTGTCCCCAAATGTCCCTTAGTGTGAGTTTATCCATTGGACCCTGGTCAACCTATCTAGTTTTGTTCCATTTTTACTGATTTGTATCAGAGGGTAAAGATGTCAGCTTTTTATTACTGATGATTTTTACTTTGTACACCTAGTTAAGGTGGTCTCTATCTTCTAGAATTCTCCACTGTAAAGCTACTGTTTTTTTCTTTTTCTAATAAGTATCTATAGTGAGATCCTTTGAGACAATGCAAATATATTTTCACTAATTTTACTTAATTATTTTTAAAATTTTTGCTGTGCTGGGGAATGAACCCAAGGCTTTATGTATGCTAAGCCAGGGCTCTTCCACTGTGCTGCATACCTACCCCCTCACCAGTAATGTCAGTATACACTGATGGTTCTTATCCCTCAGTTACTATTATGGAGTAATGGTCTCTGTTTCCATAGTTCCTTCCTTTTAGTGTTCCCTTATATATCTTTCTTTGTATTATCTCGGTCTATACTTACAGACAGTTATCTTATTCTTTTGGTTGTAATCCAGTATTATCATTATTCTGTTGCTCAGAAAAACCTTTAAGCAGTATAATTGGTAATGAAATTATTTGCTTTTCAGATATCTTAATATCTATGTCGGGCTTCCTGATGTTGAAGAAAGTTTCAATGTAACTAGACCAGTGTCCCCTCATGAGGTAATTACAAATCTTACCTTACCCAAACTTGTTTGCTTTCATTTAAAGAGTCTACCCTTAATATGTACTTTAAAAAATTCACATGCCTTTGATCCCAGCACTTGGGAGGCAGAGGCAGGTAGATCTCTGTGAGTTCAAGGCCAGCCTGGTCTACATAAGTGAGTTCCAGGACAGCTGGGGCTACAGGGAGACCCTGTCTCAAAAAGAACCCCCCCCAAAAAAAAGAAAAAAGAAAAAGAAAAAATTCAGAAGCAGGTTTAAAATATCTCCTGAGACAAAGATAATCAGAATAAGCCCTAGTAAACAGGTTGAGAATTCCTGATCCAAGAATCCAAAACTGATGTAAAGTCTATGCAAATAGTAAAAAAATGTATTTTTAAAAATGGGCCAACTAGACGGCTCAGTAAATAAAGCTGCTTGTCACCAAGCCTGACTCTGAGTTCTGTCCTTGGTATGCACGTGGTGGAAGGAAGGAATCGGCTGCCTCAGGTTGTCTCTGACCTCCATGCACCCATACAGATATACATACTGACCTGCACACTAAATAAATAAATGATGTAATAAATTTTAAAAAGTTCAGTCCCAAACCTGAAACTCTTCTGAGCCCATGGGCTTTGGATAAGGGGTACTTGAACTATATCACACTGTATTAGGAAACAGTTCCATGCAGTTTATTCTGTCATTTAATCATAATTCATGTGGCCCTGTAGAACTGTCCTGTTTGTGTTTGAAGTTTAGCTCTCTCCTAATGCAAAGCCAACTCCTCACATGTCGCTGCTCTTTGCAGAAGCCACTCACCCAATACACTGATGTTTAGCCAAAGTTTGTCAGAAAGAAGAGACCAAGGACCAGTAGCTTGTAGTCTAACAGAGATATTAATGAGGACGAAATTAAAGACAGGATTTTTAACAGTCATAGGCAGGGTTATAGGAGGGCAGGCATGTAGACTGAATTTTAACTGAGCCTAGATTTCAAATTCTTCTTGTAGTGTTTGTAATTAGCAGTTGATTCAGGAAAGAGCATGAGCTTTGTCGATTCGTTTGGCTTGTATTCATGTAAAACTTAAATAGTCATCTGAGAGTGTTAGATTTAGGAGAGCAGAAAAGGAAGGAGTTTAAAGTTAAGGAATAAGAACCAGAGCCAGACTGCAGCAGGCTGGGAATGTGTTTCCTGAACACAGCAAAGCACAGAAGCCATCTTCAGAAACAAGCATCTGCATCAAAGGGAGGGGCCGTTTGGACTTAAATAGGACAGCTGTTGAACAAGCTGTTGGCAAGAGTTAAATTCCATGCCAGGGTCTGGTGTCCTTGAGGGTCTCTTTCCCAAGATTATTTTCCCAGGCAGGCGAGGTATCTTAGGGCACTAAAGGAGACAGGCTGATTCCGTAAACAGTGTCCTTCAGTCCAGGAGTGACTAGCTGATAAGGCTTAAGCAAGTCCAGCCTGCCAGTTTAGGGCCAGTTAGCACTTTAAGGGATGTATGGTTCTTCACACATTCTATCAAGGAGTATAGCACAGGGATCTTTGTTAAAGAACAAGTAAGGTGTTTGATGTTGGGGTTATTTTCCAAACAAAATTCAGTAGGTAGGATGATCAAGTGACCACATGTCCTATGTAGGTAAATTTTGCTATTAGACATCAACTACTTAGCAAACGTTTATTTTGTGCCTTGATATTGAAAAAAGAGGTAAGACTTAGAATTCTTCCTCAAGGAGTTCATATTCTTGTGGAGAGATTAAAATGACAAACACTGAACAGACACAGACACCAGGATTGCAAACTGGAAGGCCTAGAGGGCCAGCTGTGTAAGGGAAGTTTGTGGAGCAGCATCAAAGAACAGGGGTGGATACCTGAGAGCGGTGCCTCGCTTTGACTTTCTGTCTTCCCTTTTCCATTTTGCTAGATGTTTCCAGGTTTCCAGTTTTTCAAGAACTTAGCAGACTGTTGGCAGTCTCCAAATTATTTCCTAAAACATATTAACCGAGTTCAGAGAAGGGAGAAACCAAAATATCTGAATTGTGGAGCAGCATCAAAGAACAGGGGTGGATACCTGAGAGCGGTGCCTCGCTTTGACTTTCTGTCTTCCCTTTTCCATTTTGCTAGATGTTTCCAGGTTTCCAGTTTTTCAAGAACTTAGCAGACTGTTGGCAGTCTCCAAATTATTTCCTAAAACATATTAACCGAGTTCAGAGAAGGGAGAAACCAAAATATCTGAACTAGTTCAAGAAAGTTGAGGCCAAAAAAAAAAAAAAAGGCTGAAGTAGCGTCTGTGATTCTCGCTTCTCTTACTGATGTCAGATAAGGTGTGTAGATGTTGTAACGAGCAGTGGAAAACAGACTTCTTAGCAGGAGCTTGATTCCTAGAGAGGTGAAAGGAGGTGTGAGTGCTTCAGGCTCCACCAGCCCAATCCTGTCTTGACAGGAAAGGACAAAGGCACAGAGGGGAGAGTGGGGATGATAGGTTGGGCCCATAGTGCATTTAAAAAAAGTCTTTATTTTAAAATCATATCTATTAAAATTTCATTTCCAGGTGAACAGTTTTGTTTGTTAAAGCCTACTGAATGTTTGCCTACCATGGGCATTACATTAATTTTATTTTTAATAATATATATACATATTCTATGCTAGGTGCCATCCTAAAAATATACTTTGGGAATTGAAATGATCCTTGTTGTTCTAGTTTGCCTTCAATTGCCGTCCACCAAACACTCTGACCGATACGAACTTGGGGAAAAAAAGAGTTTATTCAGCTCACATCTCCCGGGTCACAGTTCATCAGGGAGCCCAAGGAGGGAACTCAGGGCAGGAACCTGGAGGCAGGAGCTGAAGCACAGGCCGAGGAGGAATGCTGCTTACTGGCTTGCTCCCCTGGCCCCTCCTCAGCCTGCTTCCTTATACAACACAGGCCCACCAGCCTAGGGGTGGCACCACCCACAGTGGGCTGGGCCCTCCCACATCACTCAGTCAAGAAGATGCCCCACAGACATGGCCGTAGGCCAGTCCAATGGAGGCAATTCCCCAGCCGAGGCTCCCTCTACCCAGGTGTGTCAAGTTCACAACTAATGCTATCCAGCACACTTGTCATCATGTGAGAAGATTAAGATGTAGAAAGTTGTTGTAAAACATGAGAGTCAGTATTTGAACCTGAGGCCACAGAATATACTTTTTACTACCATGGTACACAACCATTGATCTGAACTGAAGGAAGAAACTTAACCTAATTAATATAATGTACATAAATACTTTTTTTGGTTGGGAATAGAAAAAAATTTAAATTTAAGTTGGAAGTCAGACACTTCCAACTTTCCGTGGAAACCAGATTTTAGCACAGGGAATAGCATGGTTAATTTTCAGAGAAAACCTCTTTTGAAGCTGTAAACTGCCAGATAACCATTGCTATAATGGGGAAGCTCTTGGAAGTTTTAATATGCCTTCCTGTGTAGTCTCATTGCTCAGATGAAGGCATCGTTTAGCTTCTTATCTCCATGTCAAACTAAAGCATATCCTGACCATTTCTAAAATCCCCTAATGATTCAGAAATGGTAGAATGATGTGACGAATGGTCAGTTCTGCAATATCTCTTGGTGAGAAGTTCTGTTTATAGTTTGGTGGTTTCAGAGAATAAACTAGGAATGGTTTAAATTTGTGTGTGTGTATTATATTTAAAATTTGAATATGTTTACATAACCCATTTCATTAGTTTTATGATTGTTAACTGTTTTTAACACTGACCAGCCACATTAATTACTCTCCATGTTCCTTAGTTTGCAAGGAACAATCTGACTGCTTTAAAGCTATGAGAGCAAACTGGTGATGGCACCAGGTTGTTCCATCTATAGATTGGCAGGATCAGGGATGCTGTGGCAATGCGTAGGCCAGTGCATGATGACATCCAGTTCCTGAAGAGTTTGACTGATAGCTCCCAGTGCCCTAAGGCAGCATATCAGCAGCTCAGTGGAGGAAAGATCAGAGTTCGGTGGGAACTCTGAAGGAGTGAGGAGGAGTCATTAACAATCTGATTCTGTTCCAGTGCCGATTGAGAGACATGACATACTCGGCCCCCATTACAGTGGACATTGAGTATACTCGAGGCAGCCAGAGGATAATCCGCAACGCCTTACCCATTGGCAGGTGAGACAGGAAGTCTCTGTTGAGCCACTCTGTGGATATCAATTTAATAAGTTCTTTTTGCTTCACTCCCTCATCTGAAATACCTGCCAGAGATGCACACCTCTCAGGCATGTGTACACTGCACACTTTCTATTCTACTGACAGTCTGTGCATGATGCCTTTTTTTGTTTTACTTTAAACAGAATGCCCATTATGCTACGAAGTTCAAACTGTGTTCTGACCGGGAAAACACCAGCAGAATTTGCCAAACTGAATGAATGTCCATTAGACCCTGGTATGTGTAATGTCTTGGATTTACACCTGTATTAGTTACTTTTCTTTGCTGTGATAAAACACCATAACCAAGGCAAATTAAGAGAATAAAAAGTTTATTTGGGCTTACAGTTCCAGAAGGGTGAGTCCATCATGATGGGGGAGGCATGGTGGCAGAGGCTGCTGGAGCACAAAGCGGAGTGCTCACATCTTCAGGCACACATAGAGAGCAGAGAAAGCGGGACTGGAAGTGAGGCAAGGCTGTGAACTCTCAAAGCCCACCCCCAGGGACAGGCTTGCTCCAGCTCGGCCACACCTCCTAAAGGTCCCTTGACGTCCCCAAACAGGACCATTAATTCACCAAGTGTTCAGGAGTGTGAGCCTGTGCTCTACGTAGACTTGTAGTTGCTTTAATCTGATTCCTATAGAGTTGTGTGGAGGAGGATTTTTTGTTGTTATGTTTGTTTTTAAGGAGAAGGGATCTCATGTAGCCCAGGCAGGTCTCAAACTTACTCTATAGTTGAGGCTGGCCTTGATCACCTGATTCTCCTGTCCCTTCCTCCCAAGTTCCCAAATTACAGGTATGTGTCAGCACCCCAGTTTGACGTTGGAAAGAATTTAATAAAGGTCATGATTTTAGTAGATTATGTTAAGTGTATTACTTTATATTTTGCAGTTAGAACCAAGTCTCATGGTACCCTATTCTGAATTACATGGAAAAAAATATGTAATAATAGCATGCAAATTTTACTTAGTGTACATTGTTTTGGAGACCTGATCTTGGTGTACTGTTACTAACTGATTTGTTAGAAAAGTCAAAACAAGTTTCAGTTTCCATTGAAGTTCATCGTTACTTCTATGCTTAAGAGACCTGAAGACTCATTTGTTTAATGTCTCTCTTTTTTTCATTTGCCTGCTGTATTTTGGGTTGGTAAAATACATAGACAAATCAAATATATTCTGCATCCTCAAGAAGTGTATCAGCTTGTGGCTTGTTGGTACAGGGTTTTGTGCTGACACTGTCATCAGTTTGAAGAGCAATGTCAGCAACCCCTTCAAATAAGTGGCTGCTGGCTGAAACAATTGATTACAAGCACATGCCTGTAATCTGAGTATTTGGGAGGTGGGGACAGGCAGATCTGGAGGTCAAGGCCAGACTAGACTCCATTGGTGCTCACTAGAGACCACCTCAGGGGATCCTTGCCCTTCCCCTACACATCAGTTGCTGAAGTGCTGAGCTTTTCTCGTTTCCTTTGACAGGTGGCTACTTCATTGTTAAAGGAGTCGAAAAAGTCATTCTTATCCAAGAGCAGCTATCTAAGAACAGGATCATTGTGGAGGCAGATAGAAAAGGGGCCGTTGGAGCTTCGGTTACCAGGTATGGGAAAATGGAGGGATGTTTTTCAGAAATAAGGTCATACTGGCAATACCGAATGGTTGTCTTCTGATGCAGAAGGAGGTGGTATCTCTCTCAGTAACATGTATTTTAAATTCATCTTTTGTATAAGTCTGTTAGCATAGAGTAAGATTTCAATTATGAAAGTATGAAAGTGTTTGAAAGGCCATGTTTTAGGTAATGTTTGTAAATTTTAGGTCATGTTTGTAAATTAATCTATAGCATTAAAGAAACTTGAAGAAATACAAGAGCACTTTTCAAAGTTTTTTGTGTTCTTTTGTTTTTGTTTTTTGTTTGTTTTTGTAAGCAAGGACTTCGTTGTTGATGTTGATTTTTTTTTTTTGGTCTTTTTGAGACAGGGTTTCCCTGTAACTCCAATTGGCCTGGAACTCACTGTGTAGATCAGGCTGGCCTTGATCTCACAGAGATCTACTTCAGGAATGTAGGCCTTAAAGGCATTCATCCCCCTCTCAGCTTGAATGGAGCTTTTGAAATGCTTTGAATCCATTAGAAATCTCATTAATACAGATACCAGTAGAAGGAACCACATTCGGGTAATTCTAGGTTTTGCTGTGTACATGCAGGGTGGGTAAGTTTTTTTTTTTTTGATTATTAATTTTAAAATTTACTTTTTTTGAAACAGGATCTTGGTATGTAGCCCTGGCTGCTTGGAACTTGCTATGTAGACTAGGCTGGCCTCAAATGCATAGATCTGCCTAGCTCTGCCTCCCACACACTAGGATTAAAGGTGTGCACCACCATGCCTGGCCTTAAAACTTACTTCTTCATATAGTATGGTTTGGGCTGTTGTGAGTTACTTTCTATTACTGTGATAAGACACTGACCACAAGCAAGTTAGAGAGGAAAGGGTTATTTCACTTTACAGCTTATAGTTCATTATGGAGGGAGGTTAGGAAGGGGCTTGAGGTAGAAACCTGGAGGCAGGAACTGAAGCGCAGACCATGGAGAAATGCTGCTTCCTGGCTTGCTCTTCTGGCCTGTGCTTATCCTGATTTCTTATATAACCTAAGACCACCTGCCCAGGAGTGGTACTGACCACAATGGCTGAGCTCTCTCACATCAAAAGCAAATAAGAAAATGGCCATAGGCCAGTCCCGGAGAGACAGTACCTCAGTTGAGGTTCCCTCTTTCTGGTGTGTCAAGTTAATAGCTGAAGCTATCCAGCACAGTATATGAAATCAGCCATGAATACAGGCCCTACACTTGATCAAAGTAATTCAGGTATACTCAAAATGAAATAGGTGAAAAGCTGGGCATGGTAGCACATGTAGTCCTAACTCTTAGGAGGTGGAAGCAGGAGAATCATGATGAGTTCAAGGTTATTCTTAGCTATATAGCACATTCAAGAGCAGCCTGGACATGAGACCTAAACCAGCCAACCAACAGGCGTGCACGAGAGAGAGAGAGAGAGAGAGAGAGAGAGAGAGAGAGAGAGAGAGATCAAAAGGTGGATGTCATTCACCCACAAAACTTCCACCATTATTTTGAAGATAGGAAACAATTGTTTTTAAATGCTCACAGAAGTAGCATCAGGGCAGGAAAGAGGCTTGTGTATCCTTGAAAACCATCAATCATTATTACCAGCAGAACCTTACTAGTTGGTGATCATGACTTTTGAACTTATTAGGTGGGGATGCAGTTTGACCAGCTTGTGTTTGTTCCTAGCTCTACCCATGAGAAAAAAAGTAGAACCAACATGGCTGTGAAGCAAGGACGGTTCTACTTGAGGCATAACACTCTGTCCGAGGACATACCCATTGTCATCATATTTAAGGTAGGGCTGTGGCTCTCTTGAAAACTAGAGAGAATTCTTTCTCTTTTCAATTAAGAACATTTTTATTATATTTTTATTTCAAGTACACACATGTGTGCACATGTGCATGTCTGTGTGTGTGCACAAGTGTGTGTGTGCCACAGTATACATGTGGAGATCAGAGGACAATTTGAAGGAATCCATTTTCTCCTTCCACCATGTGAATCCCAGGGATCAAACTCCTGTCATCAGGCTTGGCCGCAAGCACCTTTTCTTCCTGAATCATCTTTCTTGGGGTCCTGGAATTAGAATTTTGGCAGGTAAGGGATTCTAGGAATAGAAAGGTTTGTTTAATATATAAGTTGTCAGTCATATGCTATATTTTAAGTTGACAGTTAATAAGACTGAGGTTCATGTGGGTTTTTTTTTTTTTTTCAATAGTAGTCTTTTTTAAAAGCAGATACCTCAAAGTACAGGTGGGTGTCATGATGAGTAAACCTTCATCCATCCTCTTCCTCACACAGTTCTGCCTACACACCCAATATTACTAGTCTCTTTTGTATCCTTGAAGAGGTAGCTTTACATATGCATCAATAGAATACATGTTTTATTGATAAGTACAGTACGTGCTATTTTGCATTTAGCTCTTTTTTTCTTTTCTTTTTTCTTTTGAGACACGGTCTCTCTGTAGCCCCAGCTGGCCTAGAACTCACTATACACACATGTGTGCACATGTGCATGTCTGTGTGTGTGCACAAGTGTGTGTGTGCCACAGTATACATGTGGAGATCAGAGGACAATTTGAAGGAATCCATTTTCTCCTTCCACCATGTGAATCCCAGGGATCAAACTCCTGTCATCAGGCTTGGCCGCAAGCACCTTTTCTTCCTGAATCATCTTTCTTGGGGTCCTGGAATTAGAATTTTGGCAGGTAAGGGATTCTAGGAATAGAAAGGTTTGTTTAATATATAAGTTGTCAGTCATATGCTATATTTTAAGTTGACAGTTAATAAGACTGAGGTTCATGTGGGTTTTTTTTTTTTTTTCAATAGTAGTCTTTTTTAAAAGCAGATACCTCAAAGTACAGGTGGGTGTCATGATGAGTAAACCTTCATCCATCCTCTTCCTCACACAGTTCTGCCTACACACCCAATATTACTAGTCTCTTTTGTATCCTTGAAGAGGTAGCTTTACATATGCATCAATAGAATACATGTTTTATTGATAAGTACAGTACGTGCTATTTTGCATTTAGCTCTTTTTTTCTTTTCTTTTTTCTTTTGAGACACGGTCTCTCTGTAGCCCCAGCTGGCCTAGAACTCACTATGTAGACCAAGCTGGCCTTGAACTCACAGAGATCTGCCTGTCTCTGTCTCCTGAATGCTGGGATTAAAGGTGTGTGCCACCATGCCTGACGAGCTCTTTTTCTCTCTTGTAACTTATATCCCCCACAGGCATAGTCAGAAGCCTGTTTCTGAGGCAATTCTAAATCTCATTAAGTTGACAATTGAGATTAACCTTAAAAGGACCTACTGTATTTTGACAGACTATTCCCTTTATAGGTATTCCTAATTTATTTAAGTAATTCCCAATTCAGAGACATACATAGCTCTTGATATTATAAAAATTGCTGTACTATTTTGTCACATATGGGCAAGGATATCTGTAGGCTAAATCCAAGTAGTGGATTTTTTTCTATTTCAGAGAGAATTCCATATTGTTTCTTAGAGGCTTTTTGCTTCTATTAAGATTCTACGACTGGATTTTTAAAAGTTTGTTTGTGAATTACTACCTTGGAACCTGAAAAGATGTTTCCTATAAAAATGTTTAAATACAGGAGCTGGAGAGATGGCTTAGCAGTTAAGAACACTGACTGCTCTCTTCTGACCTCCTTGGGCATTGCATGACATGGGTGCACTCACACTCGTGCAGGCAATATGCTTATACGCATAAAAATAATAAATAAAATATTTTTTAAAAATGTTTAAATGGTATTCTCGGAGGGTTCATCATAATCCATTTAACATGTTCTGAGATGCCATTATTAATATGTATATAGGTATAAAATGAAACTTGATGACTTAATTTACCTAAAATAAAGACCTCAGATCATTTCAGGATACACAAAATTTCAGATAATTTTAGCGGATAATGTTCTATGGTCATCCTTCATTTTCACTTTGGAACTAAATGTTCCTATTCCATTGCTGTTATAAGAGTGGCAATGGTTTTTGGGTCACAGTGAGAACCAACAGGCAGAGAATTTCTGAGGTAGAACGAACTAAATTGGTTAAAAAGGAAAATCATTTGATCATTTGGGTACAGTCCCCAGAGAAGTAAGAAAGAGATTGAGCTTCGCCTTTAAATATGTCACTCGATGCAGACTGTGCAAGTCAAGGAGGGGTCAGGTCTTCAAGTCATCCTGGTGGTTAGGGGGATGTGCCATTGGTTCTTCCCAGTATCAAATACATGCTGACTAGCTAGGTTCTTCAACTTGAGAAATAACTGTATTTGAAACAGAATTATAAGAAGGAAGTCTAAGAAATACTTTCTGTTTAGTTTAGCTTCATATGCTTTTGAGTTCTATAGAAGATGGACTAATTCATTTTCTTTACAAGAAAATAATAGAACCATTGTATCAAGAAGTCTGGACAGATTCTCAAACATGCCTGCTTTTTCCTTCCTTTCTTTAAAGTTTGAATTTTTCTAGCACAGAAGGAATTTTAGCTTTTCTTACAGGAATTTACAGGGCCCAACGTCTTGTGTACTAAATGAGGAAGAAAATTTTGTCTGCCATTTTAGCATTGCATCTCCAGCAGAGGGCAGTAGATTCCCATGTATCCATATGACTTTTTTGAAAGTGTTAGACATGTGAATATGAATGGTACTGCCCTTTTTAGACCAAGAATGTTAATTAATCATAAAGTTTATAATCTTTTATCACCCATGTTGAAAATGTTTAATGAGGTATATGCATGCATTAAAATCTGAAAAGCTTTAAGTATTTTGAGGGGGGGGCGGGGCTGGATGATCAAAGTTTGATAAAACAATTTTCCTGTTATATTTATCTGATATTTATATTATAAATATAAACACAGGTAGCTGGCTTAAGTCCTGTTAGAAGGAGACTACCAATTTACAGTCTGTGTATTTATGTAACCAGTAGTTAAAATTTCAAGCTTTTTGAAATTATAAGTCTTTACACTATAAAAATTAAGAAAGCCACCAAAAAGTATAGCTACATTTTTATATATTTTGCAGACTTTTTTCTTGTGATGTTTGCAGTATAAACAAGAATTTTATTTTTTATTTAACAGATTTTGGTATCTTTCCATGTTTATAAATTTGAATCTGCATCATCTTTTGTGGGTTCTGTGTGAAGGTTGCACACGAGTGTATTTTATTTTACCATTTTCCTGCTACTTTTTTAGGAACCGTTGCTTTCACCCAGGTGTTCTCTGTACCCAGCCCTGAGATGACCGTCCTCAGTCATACATTTATCCACATTACTGATATACTAGAGAACTTTAATTCTGGAAGTGGGAATGTATCTCTCCTTAAAAACTTGGTAAATCTTGCATATTTTTTCCTGAAATGTGTTAATTAATGATCTGACAAATAGTGTATAAAATTTAAAGTTAGCATTTAAAAATTTTTAGTTGTGATAAATGAATTAAGTATTTTGGTCATAAATATCACTATTTCAGTCTTCTACTCTAGGGATCTTTAAATAAACTGATAGGAACTTGTTTGATAATCACCATTTAGGGTAATCTACTGGGTAATGGTGTAGAGAGTATTGGAGCTCTTACAGTCTTTCTGGCTGAAATTCCATTTTATCCCTTAGCTATGTGACCTTGAGCAGAACTGTCAACTTCTTTAGGTCCTGAATAACTCATCTATCAAGAGGAAACTCATGTACCAGTGTTGCTATGAAGCAAAGTGAGATTGTGCGTGTGTGTGTGTGTGTGTGTGTGTGTGTGTGTGTGCGCGCGCGCGCATGCATGCGTGCGTGTGTGTTTTAAAATAATTTTATTTATTTATTAGAGATTGTGTGTTTTCTTAAAATAGTTTCCAGAAGGGATGCCCTTTCTCTTTCCTTAGCTTTCCTGTCATTTCCTGTCAGGAGCTGGGGAAAATAAACTGGGATGCCAGAAAAGGCATTTCTCTTTTTGTGTTGTGTGGCCCTAACACAGACCTTGACAGTCATTAGGACTTGATGGTTGTTGATTGTAACCAACAATTGGCTAAAAGTGACAAAAACAGCAGGGTTTCCAGAGTCCATGCTGAGTCTGAATATGATGGATAAAGCTTTTAAGACCTAGCTCAGCCTTCTTTATAGACTTGACTCACCACAGAGGTTCTCCTGCCCATGAATCTTCCCCACTTTCCACTTTGTATTCTCATGCTCATGTCAGTTGCCCTAATGGTGGCATCAGTAGCCTGGAAGTTTCTCTTGGAAAGAGGATCCAGTTTCTTGGAAACCAACTTCTATGGAAATGTTTTATTTTTCGAGAGAAGCCATTACAGATTTAAAGAGGGCGATCACAGTTCTCTTATCGTCTACTGGCACTGCTGCTAGTTTGCTTTAAAGCACAGAGATTTCTGAATCTTGGCTGTTTTACGTAGTTCCCTCGTTGGGGCTGTCACACACTGCATTCAGCATCTCACCATTGGTGTCCAAGTCACTCTCTTGTGCTTGTTAGTATTCTTCCTGTTTTCTGCCTTTAAAAGTCACAGTTTGTAGATACCAGAGGAGAAAACTTCATGCATCTTTTTAAAGAGTACCCCTCCTTTGGGGCTGGAGCGACGGCTCAGCGGTTAAGAGCACTGACTGCTCTTCCCGAGGACCCAGGTTCTATCCCCAGCACCCATATGGCGGCTATGAACCATCCTTAACTCCGGTTCCAGGGGAATCCAAAGCCCTCTTCTGATCTCTGTGGCATTCCACGACATGGGTGCACTCACATACATGCAGGCAATACAACTCATACAAATAAAAAATAATAAAATAAATAAATAAATAAAATTTTTTTTTAAAAAAGAGTACCCCTCCTGGATTTTGTCCAGTGTTACCGTTGATTGCCAGGCCCTGGGTAACCTAGGATAAACATTATCTCTGCCATTTTTTCCCCAAAGTTGTTATTGTATAGCATTTTCTTCTGACTTTCTAGTTAGTGGCAATGATGAGATTTCAGGAGTACAAAGAGTATGCATAATGCTAGTTTTCAGGTGTCTAAATTATGTCTCTAAAGTAGAATGACTGGGTATTTTATTCATTTCCATAGCAATATGGCATTTTGTAGCCATGACTACTGAAGGCTAAACAGACCTAAAGTCTGTTCAGTCTTTGGAACTGAAGCTCTTTTGATAATAACTTGACTGAGTTATGGTCCTACATATCAGTGACTAGATATAGGGAGTTTAGTCTTTTTGCTGAATAGCTTTGGCAGTGTTCATGCTTTCTGTACATATGGTGTCATTCACCATGTGTTTGGCATAGCTTTATTCACAGTTTAGACATGTTTGGAGGGCCTGAGCAGTCTGTTTAGATCCTTCATGGACTGTTCAAGAGTGTTAAGCAATTTAAAAATTACCACTCAGATTCAGCATCAAGACAACTTGAAATGGCATTCCATATGATAAATGAGGAGCAAATTTTTTGTTATTATTAAACACCAATGTTGGTGATCAAGTTTGTAGTCTTTACTTGGAGATCACTGAAATAAAAATTACTAAAGTGACCTTCAGTTGCATGGTTTGGGTATTAATTTACATGGTATTAGGTAAGAAAAGGGGACCAATCCCTGGATTCTGTTTCTGTCTCAGACCTGGTCCTGCTATACCATTTGTATGCTCAGTGTCTGCCCCATATCAGTTTCTGTTCACATTTGGGCTTTCCTGTCAGAAGTGAAGTGCTCTGGCTGAAAGTCTATAATGAAGATTCTAAAGAAATGATCTACTGCAGATGAGTTATCTTGCTATTGTCTTTCTTATGTTTTTATCCCATTAGCAAAGTGTATTATTACACTCCAAAGTGTATTATTTTGAGAGACTGATGAATATCATTAACCTTATACTCTAGCTTTTTGTAGAGAAAAATTCTAATACTTCTAACTGGTTACTTGGAGACCCAGGAGGACATGGTGTTCTATATGTGTGTTTGCAGCTCAGCACGCTCCTCCTGAGGAGGTCCTAGTGTTTGCGCCTTTGTTTAAAAAATTAAAACTGGTCACTTTTTGAAGTACTTGGCTTTTATTCATAAAAGGCTATCTTAATGGATTTGTTTAATTTTTAAATAGTGGGGTTTATCTCTAGTAACCATTTGAATAATGCTTTATATCAAATTAGAGATAAAAGGACTACAAAAATTAAAGTAACACAAATGTGATTTGTGTCTTGAGAATTTATTTGTGAAACAAAAGGCTTTTTAAGCCACTTGTGCCTGCCTATAATCCCAGCACTCAGGAAGGCTGAAGGAAGAGGATTAAGAATGCAAGGCCAGCCTGACTCAAAAACAAAAACAAACATTTTGAGTTCAAATATTTCAAAAGTTGTTATTATTGCCTCTCTGGGCTGTGTAGAAATTAGCACCTTGTTGTGTGGCTTTTCTTGGGGAGACATGAACAAACATGCTTTCACCCCAGATAGGACATCAAACAACTGACTCATGAGAACTATCGGGGTGAACCATTGAGTTTGTCAGGATTACAATGTAGGCGAGTGGCTCCAAACGAGGAGCATGGGTGACTCAAAGATCGCTGCAAAACAAAAAGTCCATGCCAACATGGGTGGTTCATGAAAGGTGCACTCTTGGAGCTCTCTGCTCAACTTGCAGGCAGGTCCACTGAAAAATCTCCTCTCCTCCAGCAACTGTTCAGAGCCTATATAATCTTCGAGAAGGACCTCCTGAGGCTTTCTGAGTTTTATGAGCCTCCTTCTTCCCTTCAGGAGGCGTTTCTCCAGTTCAGAGGAAGAAAGCTACAAAACACCTCCTTTTTCTGTTGGTCAAGTTAGGGGGCTGGGTGGTTCTGGCTCAGGGTCTTTCTATCATTAGGATGTCTGTCTGACTACTGTTACCTGATGCTGAGTTGGAAGTGGGGTACTGCTTCTGTGATGGCTTGCCAGCATGGTAAGAGGCTGCAAGTCCTTTACTGCTGGACCTTCCCACAGACTGCTTGAGTGTCTTTTGTGATTTGGCAGTTAGAGCAAGCAGAAAAGCTATAGTGCCTTTTATAACCCACCACCAAAGTCAAATATGCCACTTCCCCCCTTTTGTTTAGAAGTGAGTCAATAAGTTTAGACTGTGCCCAGGGTAACGTTAGTGAGAGAATTTGTGAACATTTAAAAAAACCACTCCAGTCAATATAAAAGGGACACATCATCTATTTAGCATTCCCCCCATCTTCAAAACTTTCAAGACCAAATGTACAGTCATAGAACCTTGAGCTAGAAGGGCCCCAGTTAACCTGCCTCTGCCCTGAAAAAGAAAAGGTGTGCAACAGAGTGGTTGTCATGTCTGTCTGTAGCTGGCATTATCTCAGGAAGAGGCTCAAGGACTCAGGACTTCCAGATAGATGCCCTTTCCGTTGTTTATAGGAAGATCGCCTCCATGCTCTGCATTGGTTTCCTTTCTCTTTTGTATGGAAGACAACTGAGAAGAAGACAGTCAAAGCCTGACTGGACAATTATTCTCTGGTTCTGTCTGCTCTGCAAAGCTGAAGGAAGAATTTTAATGCAAACATGGCTTTCCCCCTAACTTCTAAGAAGTAGATCGTTACCACACCAAGAGAGGCTTGGTGAGATTGTGCTGTGGTTCTCCACATGGCAGAGTTCCAGGCAAATGTGTGGAGGAGTGAGCCTCAGGGCCATATGGGGTTTGCAAAGACCTGCAGCCATGCCACCTTGAAGTACTTAAGGGCGTTCTTTAGACCTGTTAAGTGTGCTCTTAGTTGTTAAACATCTGCTTAAAGCTTGCATAATGTGTGTTATCTCTAGAATACTGGAGTAAAACATCCCTTAGGAAAATTCTTTTGGCATGAATATGAATGACTTGACAATTCTCAGAAAAATAAATCTTGTTACAAAACTAATTGGGGTTCCACTCATTTTCAACATTGCCTGTTTTCTGATTCACTGCCCTTTGGAGGTTTTGCTTTTCAGTTTGCCATTGTAATTGTGACCAGCCCTGTACACTGTGCCTCCAGCCTCATTTCTTCATGAATAGAATCTTAGAATATTTTAACAATTTTAGAAGTTTGTACACATGCAGAAAATGCTTGCAAATGTTTGTTCCCCTCTTCCTAATGAAAATTTCTGTTTCGGGTTCTTATGCAGCTTGGGCTGTGGCTGCCAATGCCAGATGGCACCATTTCTGAGAGAAGAGCTAGCTTTGCTTAGAAGTAATACCCACAAACAATGCCAAATTAGCATAAGCAAATGTCAGTGAGTGAACACAAAGCCAACACTCCTTTCTGTCTTTTCTTCCCTTCCTAGGCCATGGGTGTTGAGAGTGACCAGGAAATTGTACAGATGATTGGAACAGAGGAGCACGTGATGGCTGCATTTGGGCCCAGTTTGGAGGAGTGCCAGAAAGCTCAGATTTTCACACAGATGCAGGTGTGTCCTTTCATGATACCCTTTGCTGTGAATGGAGACAACTTCAGTGCTGCTCATCGATAAGCCACCATTGCAGTGGCTTTAGGGGTAGTGGACTTGGGGAGAGTGTTGGGGAGGTGGGAAGAATGACAGAGAAGGTCTTTGATTCCCACTTTTAGATTAGAGGAGGGAGTTTGCCTTCACCAATCGTCAGCCTATGGTTTCTTAGGTTTTCAGAAGAGGCCTGAATGGACAAGAGGCTTTTCTCATTCAGTTAACAAGTACTGCTTTTTCCCTTTTATTACCTTGAGATTATACACTTTTTTAAAACTACAGCAATTCTGGTATTGAGGCCTTTTCTTAATTATATTATGCATTTTCTCTGCTTAATGTCCTATTTTGGGTACTGTATTAATTACTTTTCTGCTGCTGTAATAAAGCACCATGACCAGAGGCAACATAAGAAGACTTTAATTCTGGCCTGTGGTTCCAGAGTGGCAGAGTTTTTAATGGCTGTAAAGGCATAGTAGCAGGTGGCCAGAGCAGGAAACTGCCTGATCACATTTCTATCTACACACAGGAGGCAGAGAATAGGAAGTGGGACAAGGTTGTAAACCCTCAGAGCCTGCCCCCGCCCCCCGGTGACACACTTCTTCCAGCAAGGTTGTGCCTTCTAAAATGCCCATAATCTTCCCCAAACAGCTCCTCCAACAGGGGACCAAGTGCTTGAACACATGAGCCTATGGGGACATTTCTCACTTAAGCCATCTCAGGGACCAAGCCCAGGGCCCTGTGCATGTGAAGCAGACACTCTAATCTTGAGCTATATCCTCAGCTCTGAATAATCCCTTTCATTCCTGACTTCAGTTGTATATGGTCTTTATCCCAGTTCCTGAATTTCCAGTTACTTCCTTATCAAGAAAGGCCCAAGAATTGTCCCTTTTATCCCTTTAGGGTCATTAGTGATCTCAGCTACTCCTAGGTGGAACTTTGGAATTGAGGACAAGACTCACAGATGGTGATAGGGAACTCTATGTATGTTATACATAATACCAAAATAATAATTGTACTTTCCATGTGGGAGATCCCTTGCAGCCATAGGATTTTACTCAGATAACTGTAAAGTATACTCTGATATCCACTAGGTAGACATCAGTGTGGTGTTCCTTATAGCCCTTCTGGAAGCTAGGAATTCCTCCTCTAGACCTATAATAGACTGTTTTTATTTGTCCATATTTACATTGCCTGTTCTGTGAGATACTACAAGAAGATATAAATTCTAGGCTCCTTTCTTATCACTCAAGATGCAGGTAGAGATAGCATCCCTATGTTATCTGTCTGTGTGTGTGTTCTGAAATTGAATCAGTCTTGATGTTTTTTAGACTAAGTCAACCATTTGAGAAGTTTAATTATCTTGGTTAATTTGAGAGCACAGATCACTAGGGGTTATCCCTCACTACTTTTCTCTTTTTCCTACAGTTAATGAATAGTTGACTCAAATAATTGGGCAAACAGTATCAGGAAAGGGTCTTCGGATTAGGAGATACCATTTTTAGCCTTTATTGGAAATGAAATATTTTGTGGGTATAATCTTCATTACAAACTCAAGTACTAGTGTCCGTGGATCTATGACCATGAAGAGAAAGCGTTAAGAACTATCTAGGAAGTAGAAAGTGCAAGATCTACCCTGTGAGCAGGAATTGGCTCAGCTTTGGGAGATTTGCTTTTCTTTAAAGCTGTGTAGTGCCCTGGAAGAGTGAGTTACCTTAATGGTAGCAGAGGGGCTCTGATGAGATCCTTTATGTATTTTACTTCAAACACCATTATTGTTGCTCAGATAGCCCTAAGTATTGTAAAGCTGAGCAAAGGCTGAACAGTGGGTTGAAAACACACATTCATTTTGTTAATAGGTACTGACGAAAATGTTTAGTTAACTGAATTAGATTAGGCCAGAGAAAAGATGGTGGAAAGATATAATTAGTTAAGCTAAGAGAAATGTTTTGTTTCCCTGAACAAAAAGTGTAACTTTGAAAGTACTTATAGTCTGCATGCTAGATTAATAATAATCTACAGTGGTTGCTGCATTGAACATACAGTTTCAGTTATGAAAACATAAATGTTTTATGCTATTATGGATGGAAATGGAGCGAGTGTGCTTTATTCTGTAACAGGCCTTTTGAAGGTGTGGCACTCGAATGGACTTCTTAAAATGTGTGTGTTTCGTTTTCTTTGCCTCTCTTTAGTCTCTGCTTTCTCTTCTGTTCTGAAGCCTTTGTTCCACATTGGTTATATATGTTTTACATCATTACAAAGGCTCTAGTATATAGAAAGGACATTATTCATTGCCTTTTGGGGAGAGGGTGCTACTAGGGATAGAATTTGGCCTGTGTGTGAACACATAGGGCCCTTACTGCAGCTTTCATACTATGGGACTGGTGGCATTATTTAGTGTTCCAGGAGAGAGGGAACTTTGTGGAACATCAGAAGGGTTACCCTTTTCCTTTGTGTCTCTCTATATACTCCATAAAGAAGTGAAGAATCTTGTGTCCTTTTCCAAGGAAAAATGTTAGCAAAGACACCTACCTCAGTTTTAGGAAAAAAATCAAACTGCTTACTTATATTCCTGAAGACTGCTGACTTGCTTTCATCAGTTAGTTACTACTCACTACCAAGTCACTGCAGCGATGCTCTCCAGGGTCTTCCTTTATTTAAAGCATGTTCTTGCATGGCAGGACCCTGCACTCATGAACTCATAGTATCGGTGGTTGTCTACACAAGACCTGCATCAAGATCGAGCCAGTCAGCATTCCAGCAGGGAGGGGCTCCTGCTGCTCCACCCCTAGCTGAGGAGCTTTTGACAGTTGATGGCTTCTTTAAGGGTGAGGCCTCTGGTAGGTTGACCACATTCCAGTGGACAGCCCCACACCCATGAGTATATGAATAGCATCAATTGTGGGTTATATTTTAAAAAGAGAGGACATGAAGTTGGAAGGGGATGGGAGGCTGAAGCATAGATTTGGAAGAAGTTAGGGGGAATGGTTGGGGGCCAAGTATGTTCAAAATACATTGTATGAATGAATGACATTCTTGAAGAATTAGTAAAAATACTTCATTAAATTAAAAAACAAAAAACAGTGTGCCTTTATAATGGACTTTTGACAGGGACAGCTAGGACCTAAGATTTGATGCCTGAATCTTATCACAGATGAAAGAATTCCATTAAGTTTCAGACACTGTACCAGTCATTGAGAATCAAAGAAAAATGACAGAGTTCTCACCTTCAAAACCTAGGAGCATGGATGTAAGTAGATAATTAAAATAGATTATATGTGCACAAGTCTGTATGTGCAAGGAGTTCAATTGCAGAGAAAGGAGAAAGGTGTCAGAGAGGAGGCCAGAAAAAGAAGTTTCCCAGTCAGGTACCTGGGCGGGCATCCAGGAAAGAGAAGCAGCATAGCAGACCTTCTGAAGAGCTGAAAGCCAGGTTTTTTTCAGTGTGCTGTTGTTGTGGAATAATGGAAACCATAAGATCCTCTTCTTAAAACTTCTTATCATGGAAAAAGCTCCAGCACTTGTAAAGTCTATAGAAAGGCGTCAGGAGCCCAGAGCCCATCACCACCTGCACCAGCTGCCAGCACATGGATGTGTTCCACTCCTCCTCATCCCCTTCTGGACTTTTTCAGTTCATTTCTTTAAAAATAGCTGATACACACCATTTCATTGCTTCTCTGTTCTTTTTTCACAGTATTAACTTTGAAAAAAAAAATCAACTTAGAACACTTTTTGTCTTTCACAGTTATTACTTTCTATGTGCTGTTTAAAGAAATCTTCACCTACCTTGTTAGGGATATAGTCTCTGTCGCTTTTAAAATCTTACAGTTTTACTTTCTATATTGGAGCTTAAAATCTACCTTAAACTAAATTTTCCTTTTGGTGTGAGGTAGAGATCAAGATTATTTATTTATTTATTTATTTATTTGTTATTTATTTTTTAGGGTATTTAGTTGTTTTACCATCAGTTGCTAAAAGGATGTTTTCTTCCTCATTGATTTGCTTTGACACTTGTCAAGAATCAGTTGACTATGTTTTGTGGGGTTGCTTTTGGACATCTGAGTTGCTTCCATTTGTCTTCAGGCCAGTATTACACTCTTTCAGTTACTGTAGCTTTATAGTTGAAATTGGAGTTGTCTCAGCTGTTCCAGACTCTTTGCATAGCCTTGTAAATTTTTAGAATCTTGAACTTCAGAATCAACCAATTTTGAATTTTTTAAAGCCTGTCAGGAATATAATTAGCAAGTATGAATTTATTGGTCAGTTTGGAGAGGAGTTTGACTGTAAGTCACGTTTCAACATTATTGAGTCATGCAGTCCATGACCGTATCGTAACCCTCAATTTTCTTTGTTTTGGTTGTACTGAGGCTCTCAGTATAGAGGTCTTACATGGATTGCTTTCTTTTTAAGGGAAAATACCTCATTCCACAATAATACTCTGAATGAAGAATCGATGGCTGTGTGATGCATACATACAAGGACATTTTTTCTTATGTTTATTTTCTAAATTCCCTGTAATGATCATGAGTCAATTTTATAGGAAGAAAAAAATTTAAATGAAAACGAAACCAATATATTAAATAGGCTTTGTGTTATATTATTATGTCATTGATTTATGGTTTTTTTTAATGTTCTTAATGCAACAGTCTCTGTAACCTGAGTCCTTATCTTTTTGGCTTATAATGATAGCTAGGCACTTAATATGTGATCTCCAGTGATGTTATTTTCTGCTTTTTATAGGCATTAAAATATATAGGGAATAAAGTAAGAAGGCAAAGGATGTGGGGAGGTGGACCAAAGAAAACCAAAATAGAAGAAGCAAGAGAACTCCTGGCTTCTACCATTCTGACCCACGTACCAGTGAGTAATATTTTGCAACTATGGATAATAATTTTGAGATTTTGAATTTTTGCTAAAGAATTGCAAGGAATAGTTTGTACTATTTGAAGTGTATTCCTTAAGAGAGACTTCTAAAGAGGGCTATACTGCCCCACAGGAAATTATCTTCCATTATCAGCAGGTTATTTGTTTTCAGAGTAATGGCTGTATCACTTTTAAAAATGCTTATTGGCTGAGTTCATCTCTATGACCTTGAATTCCAGAGTTTCCATTGTCTGGCCTCTATCACTTGTATGAAGATTCTATCTCATCCATGGTAGTAGATGGTTTGCTTTGTCACCTGACTGATCAGGGTGCAGAGAGAGGGCTGGACCCTGTGTACTGGCCCTCGAACTAATGCATGCTTATTTTCTATTAACTTATCATTACACTAGCCATGTTCGCATGTGAGGTCTTGGCAAGAATTGTCCTCTCTGTCACTTAATATGTATGCTACTCTTGCAAAATTAGAGCTACATGTGTTCCATCATGAATGATCTAATTCCAAGTTTGCAAACTGAACCTTCATGGGCCCACTCTACAAGATGAAAGCTCAAGGGATTGTGAAAGTGAAGAGTGGCGCCTGGGGACCTTCAGGTTCAGTTTTCTTAGTTAAAACACGTTGAGAAAGAAATACAGGAATACAGGTGTCTATTCTGCCCTTTGGCTACTGTTTGTATGTCCTTGATCTAATTGAGAGAATTAGAAAATTCTTGTCATTGAAGCTAGATTTGAACTGAACTTTAAGCTCTTTTGGATGATTGGAAAGATGATTCAAAATTCAAAATAGTAAGAGTAGATAGTGGAAGCAGTAAGGGCTATAGAGATCCCGTGCTGTACTTCCTAATTTTCTTTGTACAGATTTTAATTTTTCTAAATTGGGTTTTTTTCCATCAGTAGAATGAGGTAATACTGTTTCCTCCCAGTGCTCTTGTGATGATTCAGGAATATAATATATATGAAGAGCTCTATTTTCCCAGTTCTCCAAGAGGGTATGGTTTGTTAGGAGCTGATGTTATAACTGCAGGAAGAGCCTTCGCTGTCAGAATACTAGGTATGCAGACCTTTGCTTAATTTGAGTCATAAAGGATGATTTCTTTGTACTTTTGCAAAGAGTTTGAATTACTGTTTTAAAAGTTTGGTTATACATAATATAATATAGTCAGAATAAATGAGCCAGGAATAAAGACTTACAGTTTCCAGAATATTTTAGGACAGTTTTCACCAAGTTAAAACTTCAGGGGCAATGCAGGGACAGTTTTATCAATATGAAGGAGTGCAGTTCTTCCAGGTCTTCAGGGCCCAGGTTCTCAAGAGGACTCTGAGCTGATAGCATCAGTATCACCTGGGAACTTGCTAGAAATAGTGGAAATCTACCCTAGACCTACTAAGTCAGGACCTCCAGGGTAAGCCTAAGTCCAGCTGTCTGTTTTAACAAGTCTCCCAGGTGATTACGCACATACGCAGATTTAAAAAATGTAGCTCTTGGCAGCTCCAAGATGCCTGAGCCTTAGATTCCTTTCCTTTAAGGAAGTATGGAAAAGTCTCCAGGATCCTGCTGCCAATGATCTGTCCCAGCATTCCAAGCTTGTTTTAGTGTCTCATTCCCTTTCTGATCATTCATTCACTAGCACTCCACAAAGGGAGTTGAGATTCCACAAAAAGTCATGCCAGCCATTCTCCATATGGCTGTGGAAATGCCCCTGGGGAATGTGCTCAGTATTAACATTTCAGTTTAGATCTAGGGTTGACTTTTCAGCATGTAGTTCTTAAAAAAGGAGTGTGGGTAAAATGAGTTGGGGTTACAGAACTTTAGAGTATAGCAGGGATGTTTGCTGTACATACTCATATGTATGTCTGCCTGTAAATGTCTTGGGAAAATATACCAGTACTTGTGTATGCAAAAGGATAACATGAACTGGGCTTTTTTGAAAATTGAAAATGTAAGTAATGGGGTCTTCATTTTTCTCATTAATAAGCAAAGTTATTAACAGTTAGAAGAGTTAGATGTTCAATGCATCTTATCCAACATTAAAATCAGAAAAATAAAATGGAACATAGAGTTTTATAAATATTAACTGAGAATATAAATTGTTTATTACTACTGCATAGCAAACAACTGCAAACCTCAGTAGCTTAATGTAACTGCGTATTGTATCTCTCATGGGTCTGTAGTTTACTAGCCTTCATCTGAAGTTGGGGAGAGATTCTCATCTTAGGTCTGAAGTTGCAAATAGCAGACTGGAGCCATCTGAAGGCCTCCCTGGTCTGGATGTCCACCATGGCTTCCTCACTCACAGCAAAAGCCAGGGCTTCTCTCCACAGTGTCCTGGATTTGCCCATCTGTGCCTCGGGACTCTAAAGGAAGATAGTGAAAGTGCCATGAGGGGAGGTCTCGAAGTGGCTTAGCATCATTTCTGCTCCATTTTCTTGGTCAGACTCACCACTGGCCAGTGCAGAGTGGACAGTAGGCTTCCATCTTGAGTGAAGGAGTGGCATGAAGAACCTGGGAATTGAGGCAGGTGCAGTAGTCAGCCACCACAGGTTCTAAAGAGAAGAAAAGTCCTCAGACCTCTCAGGACGTTAATAGACTAGTTAATTTCTTTGAATAGAGAGAATTAGAACAATTCATTGCTTTATTTTTCTGTAATAACATTGATTCTTTTTTTGAGGTACCTCAAAGTTTAGAGTGCATTCCCTCAGAGCTTTTCTCTGATTTCTGAATTACAGGTTAAGGAATTCAATTTCCGAGCCAAGTGTATCTACACTGCCGTGATGGTGCGAAGAGTAATTCTGGCCCAAGGAGACAACAAAGTTGATGACAGAGACTATTATGGTAACAAGCGATTGGAATTGGCAGGACAGGTGATTTTATGATCTTCTGTGAGAAACCTTATTTCTTTTATAAAAATTTGTTTTATATTCATTTTAAATAGGCATGCATTCAAATTGAATATAAATTATATAAAGTTTGAAGTATACCTTTTCACACATGACTTATTGTCCTAGACAAGAATTTTTTTCTATGAAAAATCTATATTTAAATATCCCAATAATGTTACCTTTGTTATTTCTTTTTTCTTTAATATTAAAAAAATTTTTTTTAGAAGAAGCATTTCATTACAGCTTTAACATACTCAATAACAGTTTCCAGAGCAAAGATACATCTCTTTCAAAAGTAGTTATAAAATATTTAGGTTCACTTTGAATTAATACAGTTATACAATATTGAACTCAGTATAAACCCTGTAAGCCATAAAATTGAATGAGTTTTTAACCTTTAAAAAAGATCTCCATTTCATTTTAAAATATACTGTTTCTTACAGAAAGATTCATTGTTTTTGCTAATAACACTGAGATGTTGGCACATGCATCTCTAATCTGTATGTATCTGATTATTACTAGTCATAATCAGTTGCGCTCAGATCCTTGGCACCTGTGTATGTTTATAAAATCATCAGATAGATTTCAATAGTAATGCTTATCACCTCTACTAATTAACATGACGTAAATCTTTATGCTCCCTCCTCAAATATAATTCATTCTTTAAAAGTTGTTGATTTTTTGTGTGTGTGTATATCACACAGAACATCCCAAACCATCTTATTCAACTATACACTCACTTCCCAGATGGCACCCTCCCATAGCCTCCCTCCCCAGACTAGAGCCCTTATACTCTGTTATCCCTGCTACTGTCTGCTGTGTTGTCAGCACCGCCAGCCATTCCCCACTACTTGTCCATCTGGTGAACCTAGTCAGCCTATCCAGAGGTCTTTGTATTAGGAAGGTCAGTGGTTCCTCATCTTCCAGCAATGAGTTGTCAATATTCCTTTAGAAAAGATTGGGGTCTGCTGTTCATTTTCCCAGTTCTATCCTGGGTTACTCTCTGGGAGTCCCTTGGGCCACCCTGGCCAACAACTCAAAAGAAGGTATCTCCTATCTGGCATTGTTGCTTGTTATGTAGCCTTTAGCTATACATAGGGACTCTTAAAAATTATATTGGCCCCGCAGTGGAGATCTTTTTTAAACGTTGGAACCTCATTTAATTTTATGTCTTATAGAGTTTATAATGCATAAAAGATTATATAAGCGTAATAATTCATCTGTAAACCTAGAATAAAAAAAATTATATTGGCCCCTTTAATCTTTGGTTATACTTTCCTTTTGGGTGTTTAAAGCCATACAGTTGGCCCAGATAAACCAATTTATTTTTTCGCTTAAGGCCGTTTGAGGATTTGTTCCTCAGGGGTCACAGGGGCTTGGGAGGAGCCCCTGGCTCCTTTCTTTTACCAGTTCCATCTATGTGAAGATAAGTCAAAGGTCCTGCTCGACCATGGTTGGCTTCATTTGGAAGCATTGAGGAAATGATCCCTCTGTGTTGACCCTCCTCTTTATAGACTGGACACTGGTTCAAGTCCATCTGGTGGGGTCTCCTCGGCTTCCTTGATCAAGAGGACAGGTGACCCACCACCATTATAGGACATTTTGAGAGATGCTCATAGTCCCCTGGAACTAGTCGACCTAGGAGGGCAAGGAGCAAAAACTGTCCTTTATGTCCCTCTGATCAAATTAGTATAGGCCTCAAAGTATGTCTGTTAAACATCCAAGAAGGTTAGTTCCACCAGTCTGGTATTTTTAATTACTGTGTGCCATGTAGATAAATCTTGAGCAAAGACCAGTTGTTCTTAGATAAACCTTACCTAAACATATTTCTTGATCTGCTATGTATAATTTGTCATATGTTGTTGGACTAATATGGTTCCCTCTGGTTTTTAAAACTACCTAGGCCTGATTTATCTCTCACATTGCCTAACCCCTCCATCATGGTTTCCTCAATTAAGGTGCCCCATTTTTTCCCCTTTCTCCCTTAATAATACCCTTCTCCTATGGTCCTACCTCTCTTGAACTCCTTCTTTTCCTTTATCCCCTAGTTTCCTTGTATACCCTTCCCTCGCCCCTCCCTTAAATGAACCCAATTTTTATCCATATCTCCCTTATTAATGCCTGTTTCCTACTGATCTCCTCTTTCAGGTTCTTTCTTTTCCTTTACCTCCCTGGTTCCTTTCCATTATCCTGGTTTCTGTAGTTATGTCTGGATACATACTCACTTATCAGGGCTTGGTTCTAAGATCCACATATGAGGGAGAACATATTCTCGTTTTTTTTTTTTTTTCTGAGTCTGTGTTACTTCACTTAGTATAACAGTTTCTAGTTCCATCCTTTTACCTGCAAATTTCATGATTTCATCTTTCTTTATTGCTGAGTAAAACTCCATTGAGCCACTCATCAATTGAGGGACACTTTGTTATTTCTTCTTGTCTGCTGGGTTTGGGTTTCATTTGTTGTTGCTTTTTAAGTGTGTTGAGTTGCCATGTTAAGTCATTTATTTGCTGCAAATTTCATGATTTCATCTTTCTTTATTGCTGAGTAAAACTCCATTGAGCCACTCATCAATTGAGGGACACTTTGTTATTTCTTCTTGTCTGCTGGGTTTGGGTTTCATTTGTTGTTGCTTTTTAAGTGTGTTGAGTTGCCATGTTAAGTCATTTATTTGCGTTCTTTCCGATTTTTTAATGTAGGCACTTAGAGCTATAAACTTTCCTCTAAGGACAGCTTTCAGCGTGTCACAGAAGTTGTTGTATTGTGTATTGTCCTTTCATTTAGTTCCAGGAATACTTTTATTTCTTTCTTAATTTCTCTTTTGACCCATTCATCATTCAGGATTGTGTTGTTTAGTTTCCATGTATTCATGTGGTGATTAGGGCTTCTTTGGGTGTTGATTGTAAGCTTTATTGCATTGTGGTCTGATAGAATGCATGGAATTATTTCAGTCTCTTTATATTTGTTGAGGTTTGTTTTGTGACCCAGTGTATGGTTGATTTTGAAGAAGGTTCCATGGGACACTGAATAGAAAAGTATGTCCTTTGGTGCTTGAGTAGAATATTCGGTAGATGTCTATTAGTTCCATTTGATATATGGTATTGTTTAATTCAAACGTGTCTCTGTTAACTCTCTGCCCTGTTGACCAATATAATGGAGACAGTGGGGGTATTGAAATCCCCTACTATTAATGAGTTGGAATTAATCGGGGTCTTAAAGTCCTATAGTATTGTTTTTATGAAGTTGGCTGCACCAGAGTTTGGTGAATATGTGTTCATGATTGTAATATCTTCTTGATTGATTGTTCCTTTGTTCAAAATGAAATAGCCTTCTTTGTCTTTTCATTTTAAACAAAGGAACAATCAATCAAGAAGATATTACAATCATGAACATATATTCCGACTGGGGAGTTTAGTCCGTTAATGTTTAATGTTATTAATGAAAGATGAGTATTGAATCCTGTCATTTTTTGTTTTGTTGTTTGTTTACGTTCTTGCTATAGCAGTACTTTCACACAGTTATACCTTCATTGAATTTCTTTCTGCAACCCCTTGGGTATGGTCATTCCTTTCTTCACCTCTTTGTATTGCTTCCTGGTCTCTGAAGGGCTGGTTTTGTGGACATGAATTCCTTCAGCCTATTTATGTCATGGAAGATTTTTCTTTCCCCGTCAACTATAAGAGGAATTTTGGCTGGATATAGTAATCTGGGTTGGCATCTGTGGTCATTTAA